TCTTCTGAATCACTCTGATCATCCTCATCATCATCGTCATCACCAAGTTCCATCCTCCTTGATCTCACTCTACCCTTAGTCTCCAGAGATCTCGTTGTCTTCCTGCCTTTGGAGTTTGGATTCATCTTTATGGTCGTTTCTGCTTGTCCCCTCTCTATTATTCGTTCATCCTCATCTCTGATGCAATAATCACCTTCCTGAATGATCACTGGAAGCTGAGGATAAACGTCCTTAAACTTGTCTTCTTTCTCATAAGGTGGGGGTGTTTTTGCTGAATCCATATATGAGAAAGGTGTATTAACTTCTGCAATCAGTTTTTCTGTCACCTTCACCTCTTTTGCCATTTTCTCTGCACCTCTGTCTCTCTTATCTTTTGTGTCTTTTATCAGTTTTTGTCCTTCATTTTCAAAAAGCTTAAGAACACCCAGCTCTCTTTGTCTTTTTTCTTGACGAAGTTTTCCTTTCTTCCCCTTCTTTTGATCTGTCTTATACGTGGATACAAGCACTTGCATTATCTTGATGACGTCTGGATTAAGTGTGCCTTCCAATGGCCATGGTTGTTCAATGTCAGGCCAACGTTTATTCCATTTTTCAGATAATTTTGCTATACCATTAACTAGTGGATTACTATTCTGTACTACATGAAGAGGAGTAATTGCTTTTGTAGTTTTGATGTCCTTTTTTCCCATTGTAATGCACTTGTTATGTGTTACCCTCTAGTTTTCCCCCTTTTTTTTTTATTTTTTTTTATTTTTATTTTTTTAATTAAAAATAATTAATCAATTAATCCAATCAATCAATTAACAAATTCAAATCAATACATCAATCAACCAATTCAATCAATCAATCAATCAATGAAATCAAATCAATCAGTCAATCAATTACTAATGAAATCAATCAATCAATTAATCCAACCAATGAACTAACCAAATCAATCAATCAATAAATCAAATTAATCAATCAATCAACTAATGAACCAATCAATCAATCAATCAATCAATTACCAATGAAATCAATCAATCAATTAATCCAATCAACAAACTAACCAATCAAATCAATCAATGGATTACCAATCAATCAAATCAATCAATGAATTACTAATCAATCAAATCAATCAATGCAACCAATCAAATCAATAAACTAATCAAATCAATAAATCAATCAACTAATTTAATCAATAAATCAATCCAACCAATCAACTAATCAATTACTAATCAAATGAATCAATCAATCAATAAATCAATCAACTAACTTAATCAAATCAATCAATCAACTAAGTAATCCAATCAAGTCAATCAATCAACAAATCAAATCAATAAATCAATCAACTAACTCAATCAAATCAATCAATCAACTAAGTAATCCAATCAAGTCAATCAATCAACTAAGTAATCCAATTAAGTCAATCAATCAACAAATCAAATCAATAAATCAATCAACTAACCCAATCAAATCAATCAATCAACCAAGTAATCCAATCAAGTCAATCAATCAACAAATCAAATCAATAAATCAATCAACTAACCCAATCAAATCAATCAATCAACCAAGTAATCCAATCAAGTCAATCAATCAACAAATCAAATCAATAATGAATTACTAATTATTCTGTGAATTTTATTTTACCAAATTATTGATTAGTGGCAATCTTACCACATCCGATGAGGAAGAGTAAAGGAAAGTAGTCAACTCCAGAGCAATTCAAAAATAAAATACCTGTACCAGCAACACTACCCAATTGCTTAATAAGCAATTAATTACCTTAATTTTACAGAATAATTTCAATGCTGGAATTCCAACACAACTCTAATCAAAACAAGTCATTGACAAAAACTGTAATGTGCAATTATCAATTACATAAATTCATCAGTCTGTTGCCAAGCTCTTGCGAAATGGTCACAACATGAAATATTCTATGTAAACACAATGTATCAATTATATCCTGTGAGGGAAAGTAGATTTGTGAATAATAACAGCACTGGCCTTAATTTGGACTGGGTTGCCGTCTCTGATGTCAGTTGATGTCAGCCCCTCCTCTCTCTCTCTCTCTCTCTGTCTCCTCCTTCTCGTCTCTCGTATGACAGAAGGACAAAAGGACAAAGAAGAGTTTAGTTTATAGTTTTTCCACATTCACGCTAAGAAATAAGCAAACAGCTTAACTCAGGAATATTATAAATAGCTCAATAACATTTTATTTTATTCATTTATTTTAGTATTATTATTTTTAATCCGTCAATATATCTCTCATTCACCAACTCAACCGATTATCAACCAAACAGTTTTACAGTCAAGCAATAGTTAATTCAAAAGAAGATTTCACTTGTGTGCAAAATTCCCCCTCCCGTTGTCTTTTTTTTTTTTGGCTGCACTGAAGTGGACTCTCCCAATCAGTTCAGTGCAGGGGAGTGGCTAAAGTCATAAATCCTACGCGTGCGCAGTTCAGTCACCAATGTGATTTCAGAGTGTAAGGACCTATAAACAGACCCGCTGTTGCTCCGGTCTCTCCTCCCATAGACAATAACACTGAAGACTTTAACAGAGCTCACAAACTGAACACATAGAACATACAAGACATACAATAAGACTTAAGACATTAACAGAGCTCACAAACTGAACACATAGAACATACAAGACATATCCAACTTCGAAGTTTGTTATCACTTATCTGCAGATTTATAGTAATGACGTTATGAAATATAAAACATCTCTATACACTCTTAGAAAGTCCTCCCTGTAGGCTCATGATTCGTTAGTAAACGTTCTCTTTTTATAGAGACTCATAAGATCTTTAAACTTATAGTCCTTCCAGGGGGCTCATAGTTTATATAGTTTAAGAATTACAAACGTTCTCACAAACAGAGACTCATAAGATATTTAACCTTAACTGTGTTGTAGGGGTTTTAACTTTTTACTCTAGGGGCTTAACATTTGAAAACATAAATACCTAAAACATTTATTTACAAGAGACTAAAAAAAAAACTCTGGTCTAAGCCTTAGTCGACACACATCTGGAAGTCATCAAGCACGCAGCCACACTCACTCTTGTTTCGCACACACACGCTGACAGAGAAATGCGCTTTTTCTCATTTCAGACACACACACAGAGAGAAATTGGATCCATCTCGCCGTTCCTATTTCTTAATATATTCCATTTGCTAAATTTCTGCTACCTTCCGGTTTTAGACATTCAAAAGAGAGGATTACTTCAGACAGATGTTTCGTCAAACAAATTCAGAGCGGTAAACTTACAATTGAATATATTGTCTTAAACCAGCAGTCCCGAGAACTGACTTGAGAGTTAATCTAATAACTATCAAGATTTATGGCCCATCTCTAATGATCGCCTCGTTTGAGGGCTTCCTTAAATTAACGGCGCCCTAAAAGTATACTGTCAACTCATTTCAAACGTTATCCTCTAAGCCTTTCCTTGGACACTCCTTGCACTTTTATTCAAGCCAAAACATCGGTGTCCTGTCGGTGTGTCCTACAAACACTCAAACTAATTTAGAAAATTTAGAACGGAATTCCTATCACACAGCAAAAAGAACCAGCAAAATGCACACACAAGTTCTTAGACGGTGCATCCCCCCCAGCGCACACACACACAGCCACACGAACCGGCCAGCGCCCAAAGTTTGTGAGAAAACTCACCGTTTCAGCATGCCTCTTGAGCAGGAGTCACTTCGTAGCCCATGAGTGGAACGCTGAGAAAATATGCAAGACGCCCCAACCCTCGTCGCCATTAAATGTGGTTACTAAAAGAAACACTTTTGCTGGTCCATGCTTGTGATGATAAGAAGATCCGCCGACACTGTACTCTGTTCACAAAGGTTTATTATAACAAAGAGTTTACAGCATCGAATTTTGACAAACACCTGCAGATGTCTGGAGATAGCAACAGCCAAATCAATAATTCGCTATTCCCCCTCTCTGTTCAAGACATGGCATTATATCCTTTATGACGTATTATGGTGTGATTCTAGAAAAACCAATCCCTAGTCTTTTCTCCCTCACTCCCCATCTCTTCTCTCCATTAACATCAGTAATGCTTTCCAGATGTTACAACCAAGTAGAGCAAAGTTCATCTGTTACACAATTTTGTAAACGTCAGCACAATCCTAGACTCTTAAGATACTACACGTCCAACCATCCTCACAACCGCAGACCACGTGTATGGCATCATGTGGGCGAGCGGTTTGCTGATGTCAGCGTTGTGAACAGAGTGCCCCATAGTGGTGGTGGCGTTATGGTATGGGAAGGCATAAGCTATGGACAATGAACACAATTGCATTTTATCGATGGCAATTTGAATGCACAGAGATACTGTGACGAGATCCTGAGGCCCATTTAAAAAAAAAAAAAAGTATCTGACCAACTGATGCATATCTGTATTCCCAGTCATGTGAAATCCATAGATCAGGGCCTAATCAATTTATTTCAATTACTGAATTCCTTACATGAACTGTAACTCAGTAAAATTGTTAATTATATTTTTGTTCAGTATAGATTCAATGTGTGAATCTCTGGACATGATTCAAACCAGTTAAAACATTTTATGAAAATCAAGTGGGTGTGACATGATAATTCTGACCACCCAAAATATATTATGTTCAGTTCCCTTATGAGTCCCCAGTTACCTAGCTGAAGTATCTACCGGATTGGTAAATAGAACCTTGGAAGCCTGCCAATTCATTACACCTATCAAAATATGGAATTTGCTTCAGTAAATATCAGGCTCTGCAGCAAATTGGCAATAAATGGGAGAATGGCCTAAGAATCCAGTACATACGGAGGATGGTCCCAGTCTGAAATGATAGTCTTTTCACATGCAAGTAGTGGCTGTGTTGTTCAAGCAGTCAAGCTGGAGATCCATTCCCCACTTCAACCCTGTCCAACAACAGTCATCTAATGGTCGTCCACAAAATGGTCCTTGCAATGGGTTGAAGGTGGGGAAAACGTGTGGATCTCCCAGATATGTACAAGCACATAGAGGCTCACGTTTGGTTCACCTCATGGAACTTGAGTTCTCTGGGTATTTTAGTCTCTGGGCCAAACTTGGTGCAAGCTCGGCGCTCGAAGGCAACAACCATTTTCTTCACGACCTCATCAAAGAAGACTGTCGCTAACTGCGAGTGTAGCAAAGAGCGAAACTCGAAAGATATCTGCAAGACAATAAGCAAAGGTGGAAAGTTGTTGAGGTTCTGTTCATAATCATGTTTCCCCAATAGGTTAGGTCAGGTAGCTTAGTGGTTAAGAGCGTTGTGCCAGAAAGCTAATGTGATCCTTGTCTTTTTATTAGCGGCCATCACTCTGTTTTCTCCCGCAATTGCATAGCCTATAGAAATGTTGCTCAACATGAACTCATGGGCTCTCATGAAGTGTTTGATTAGATTTTCGAAAACATTTGCATTGATGTCAGAGTGATTAGAGGGACAATAGAGTGCTGAGTACCAGGCAGTTAGCAAGTTTGGTAGGTTACTAATGACCTGCAGCAGCATCAGAGCTTGGAGAAGCCTAATTACCGTGACTAAATAGTCATGTGGAATTTGACTGCCTTCATGACTCGTGACCGCCGGTGTGGCGGTAGTAAGGTCACCACAACAGCCATAGCTGCATAGCAATAGTATTGCATGGTGCGACAAGGAAACACTTACAGAGAAATCAACAGTACAGGTTCTGGGATAACCAGGTATTCCAGGGCTGAAACGCCATATTGTCTCCAAGTGGTTGAACAGTTTGCCATCTGTGCATACAGCCTACGGAAAGGGGAAGTGGCAGTAAAAAGAGATGCAGTGCATGTTATTATTGGTGAATAACTTTAAAGCACTGCAAAACAATAGACTTGATTGGGCTTACGAACCTTGACTAGATGAGGGCGCACATTGGTGATCATGGAGGTGTATCTCTCGACTATAGGGGGGAAACCCACTTCCAGCTGGGCTTTAGCGTGGCTGGCTCTCTGCATGATGAACTGAGATTTCTTACACCACGGAACAAAGTGCTTATAATCGTCCACGTTGGCTACCACATCATACATCTCATGCATCGAGTAACTACAGAGAAAAAAGGGGGAAATAGTATTCTTAGCATATTTGCATGAGACCATATGACGATACATTTAGTCTTTACACTGAATAATGATGCAATGTGCTTGATTTGATGTTAGTGTATTTGTCATTTACATGACTCTGTTGTTCAGGGATAGTAGTAGGCTCTTATCAAAGTTCACAGATAGAAAACGCTAAGTATGCGGCCCATGTCATACGTTTTTTCTCAATATTGTTATGGGATACAGGACATGTCAGAACTAGAGCACAAGGGGATGCTTTGATTAAAGGCCAAGTGCAGTAAAAACATGATTTTCCTGTGTTTTATATTTCAACACTGAGGAAATGTCAAAGGCCCAGTGCAGTCAAAAACGTGATTTTGCTGTGTTTTATATACAGTATATTTCCACACCATGAGGTTGGAATAATACTGTGAAATTGGGAAAATTATAATACAATTTTAGCGTAAGAGCCGTTTGAAAAGACCACCTGAAATTTCAGTCCGTTTTGGTGGGATGGAGTTTTGGCCTGCCTGGTGCAATCACCAGGCGGTAAATTAGTTAATAGACCAATAAGAAAGAGAGTTCCAAACCTCTTTGCCAATAACAGCTAGTTGTCAGTTTTCCCCTCCCAGCAAAATTCTTGCTTGAGAAATAGCTTTTTGCTTAGAAGCTTTTTAATTTTTTTTTAATTAGGGCTGCATTGGACCTTTAAATTAATCAGCATTTAGCCATGTCCACTGAAGCACAGATGCAATCTCTACATACCCAATGATTCTTCGTTCTGAATACTGTTTCCTCTTGTTGGCCAGACTAAGGAAGGTTCTGCTAGAGGGAATGATAGTTGTCCTCCTGTCAAAATGGATAAGAATCCTGGGGGTCCTGGTCATAAGGATGCCACAAGATGTCACATATCTGTTGGTCCAAGAATGATCAGTAACTGACTTGCAAAACCCCACTTTAAAACACCGGTTCATTGCATTTTAATAAATCCCATCAATAAGACCCTTGTTATAGAATGTTATAAGTTTAAACCCAACCGACACCCAAATTACCGTAAAACGTTAATTAAACGCGAGTCTCAAATAGCCTTCTGTCCCTTTTAATAGCCGGGCAACAGCACACATTTCAGCAAATAAACACCGGTTTCAAATAAATGCCGGGTCTAAATTAATTGTTTACGAGGTAACCATGAATTACCATGAATTGTTTGAGGTTTAATGTTTGATTTGTTACATTAAATAATTCAGTAATGACTCGAAAGAATGATTGCAAGCATCCGTTTTTATCGCCAGTAAGAAATTACTAGCCATTGGCTGCTAACAGCTGAGAACTGCTAGCTAACTGGCAAGCACAAAAACAGTCAACAACTTCGGGAGTACAGACCACTAGAAAACGTCAGATCGCATTCTATTGGCGAAAGTAAGAACTGCCGAAAATGCACAGTCAAAGGAGAATAATTATTGTCAATTATTATTTTTATATAGAGGCATACTAAGACAAAAGAAACGTGGCACCGTGTGTACATAACACTGTGCAGAAAATGAAGAAATTGATTAAAATGCTGGAAGTGAATGCTGGAATTAAACATTTAACAATGCAAATTAATAAAAGCTGTGTGCTTTAAGGAAATAGAAGCCTGGCTCAAATAGAAGCCTGTCTCGAATAAGCGCCTGTTGTGTTAAGTTATTTAAGCAACTAAAGCCCAGGCTATTAATTGAAATGGTATGTACTTTGTAACCGCACCATCATCACCCCTACCCCACTCCCTTACCTGATTGGTTGTTTAATCCTTATTCTTGGCCCCAACACTGTATTCAACCGGTTTGTGCCAAATGTAGAGACATCTAGCAACTCACTGAATGTCCGTATGCCTATAGGCAATCGAAAGGCCGTCACAGTGGCCAACCCAGCCATTTGTTATTTTAGAAGACAGTAATGACTGGCAACAGCAACAATCCTGCAAATGACCTAACCTAACTAGCCTGCGCTACACAGCCAAGCTATGGGATGGTGTGCGCTACTAGAAAGCTAACCGGCTGATGCTATCGGAAAACATGTTTAGAGGATTGTATTACACATTTACGTATAATTAGTAACGTTAGTTCAAGAATGTAAAATGTCTAGCTAGTTAAACTAGTAGTTTGTAACAGGACAATTTTAGCTAAATATCTACTACTAACGTTGGCGTAAGCGTATAAAGTTAGCTAGCCAGGGAGCCACCAGCTAACGTTAGCTACCTAACTAACGTTTCAGAAATGCCATTTCTCGACTTCTAGCCTCAATCGAATGAAATGCCATAACTGTTTAGCTAACTAGCTACATAACGTTTCGTCCGCCAGCTTCTTCCTTTTTACTGCTTTACCCGGCAAGGTCCTCTGATGGAAAAGAGTATCTATTACATTGACAAGATAGTCGACTGACCCCTCTAACAATGGAAATACATGTCCGCAAAGGCGGAAGGTAAGTGGGAACATTCTAGCCAATGAGAGGGCACATACGCGTGTGAACACCCATATAACATTTTTCTCAAAGTTGCCGGAATGCCATGTGCGTCCATTTATATCAGTACGTTAGTAAAAATCTAAACATTACGAAATTTATATTCGATCAAATAAGCTTCACGGAGTAAATTCGCGATTACATTTTTTGTTAACCAAGTTCGAGACTCTCCTTGACCTCCAAACTAAAAATCCCCACTTTGTCTGCTTATCATTGGATTTTCGCGCTGACAGATTTTGGGCGCGGAGTTGATCCTCTCGCTTCGCCTCTTCCTCTGCTGAAAGTCACCGGCTAGAAGTATCGTTATGCTGCGTTCATAACCAAGTGTGAAGATGGCACTACATACGACTGAAAAATCCACTTGAACTCCCCTAAAACTGGTAATAAAGATAAATAGTAATGGCGTATTTTTGTAGGAACCAGCAATGGTTCGTTGGACAAAGCCTATGAGCAAAATGAATGGCGTTTTTGTAGGGTTTTTGGATAAACTCCGAAAATAAGGTATGTGGTTAAAAACAGGCTTAGGATATCTTATGTTTATGCACTTTATTACAGGCAACAATTTTAGTACTCATCACTGCATTCTCTACCAGAACGTTTTTGGGCCCTCTTTGATATCACTTAGGTTGATACATTGCTATGTTTTCATTTATAAATCCCTTTTACAAAAGGTCCCACTATACCTAACATCATTACTAAACTTTAGACATACGAGTTACCGCACCAGTCTCTGGGATGGATAACTCTAGAAGTTAATTTGGTCTACTGAGTTAGGTAAATCAGCTTTTAGTTTTCTTGCACCTTATTTGTGGAACAACCTTCAAAATGTTCTTACATTTGATGTTCTGGTGCCTTTAGGGCAATACAGAAAGCTGATTGAGGACCTTATTACTGATGAATGTGTTTGTTTTTTATGACCATGTTTTTCTTTCTTTCTTTCTGCTTGCATTTTGTATTTATATTTTGATGTGTGTATTTTCTGTAATGTATGTAATTCAGGGCTCATCTGTAAAATAGACCTTGGTCTCAGTATGACTCTGACAAAAAATAAATAAAGGTAAAAAAAAAAAAAATACGTTTTGTTCTATGAGATTCTTCATCAGTTAAGATCGCTTTTTGTGAATTTTGAAGAATTTATGTAATAATAAAAAACACATTCACAAAGGCTTCATAATTCATTGTCACTTATTTCCGGGTTTTAGGACTACAAGCTGGCGAGCTCTATTACTAGTGGGAAACTTGGCTATCATTCCTGAGCTCCGACTTCTCCCACATGCTGACCTCTGACGTCACCTACTAAGGAAATTACATTGACCTCTATATCAGATGGTGTCAGATGAAGGCCCCAAAAATTGCCAAAGACTCCAGCCACCCAAGCCATAGACTGTTCACTTTGCTACTGTACAGCAAACGGTACCGGAGCATCGGCTCTCGGACCAACAGGCTCCGAGACAGCTTCTACTCCAAGCCATAACATTTACATGTACATTTTCGTCATTTAGCAGACGCTCTTATCCAGAGCGTAAGACTGCTAAATAAGACTGCTAAATAGTCAATTAATGGTACCCAAACTATCTGCACTGACTCAATCTTGCACTGACCCTACGCACACTCACTAGACTTTATATACACACCATATACACGCTCGCTAACACACACTATGCTGTCACTCCCACACAAATCCCTCACACATTCAAACACTACATACACACACACACACACACACAAGCATACCGACACAACACAAACACTTTTACATTCATTATTTACTGCTACTACTATGTTCTTTATTTGACTCTTATTATTATCTATCCGGATGCCTGGTCACTTTACCCTGCCTTCATGTACACTGCTCAAAAAAATAAAGGGAACACTAAAATAACATATCCTAGATCTGAATGAATGAAATAATCTTATTAAATACTTTTTTCTTTACATAGTTGAATGTGCTGACAACAAAATCACACAAAAATTATCAATGGAAATCAAATGTATCAACCCATGGAGGTCTGGATTTGGAGTCACCCTCAAAATTAAAGTGGAAAACCACACTACAGGCTGATCCAACTTTGATCTAATGTCCTTAAAACAAGTCAAAATGAGGCTCAGTAGTGTGTGTGGCCTCCACGTGCCTGTATGACCTCCCTACAACGCCTGGGCATGCTCCTGATGAGGTGGCGGATGGTCTCCTGAGGGATCTCCTCCCAGACCTGGACTAAAGCATCCGCCAACTCCTGGACAGTCTGTGGTGCAACGTGGCGTTGGTGGATGGAGCGAGACATGATGTCCCAGATGTGCTCAATTGGATTCAGGTCGGGAACGGGTGAGCCAGTCCATAGCATCAATGCCTTCCTCTTGCAGGAACTGCTGACACACTCCAGCCACATGAGGTCTAGCATTGTCTTGCATTAGGAGGAACCCAGGGCCAACCGCACCAGCATATGGTCTCACAAGGGGTCTGAGGATCTCATCTCGGTACCTAATGGCAGTCAGGCTACCTCTGGCGAGCACATGGAGGACTGTGCGGCCCCCCAAAGAAATGCCACCCCACACCATGACTGACCCACCGCCAAACCGGTCATGCTGGAGGATGTTGCAGGCAGCAGAACGTTCTCCACGGCGTCTCCAGACTCTGTCACGTCTGTCACATGTGCTCAGTGTGAACCTGCTTTCATCTGTGAAGAGCACAGGGCGCCAGTGGCGAATTTGCCAATCTTGGTGTTCTCTGGCAAATGCCAAACGTCCTGCACAGTGTTGGGCTGTAAGCACAACCCCCACCTGTGGACGTCGGGCCCTCATACCACCCTCATGGAGTCTGTTTCTGACCGTTTGTGCAGACACATGCACATTTGTGGCCTGCTGGAGGTCATTTTGCAGGGCTCTGGCAGTGCTCCTCCTGCTCCTCCTTGCACAAAGGCGGAGGTAGCAGTCCTGCTGCTGGGTTGTTGCCCTCCTACGGCCTCCTCCACATCTCCTGATGTACTGGCCTGTCTCCTGGTAGCGCCTCCATGCTCTGGACACTACGCTGACAGACACAGCAAACCTTCTTGCCACAGCTCACATTGATGTGCCATCCTGAATGAGCTGCACTACCTGAGCCACTTGTGTGGGTTGTAGACTCCGTCTCATGCTACCACTAGAGTGAAAGCACCGCCAGCATTCAAAAGTGACCAAAACATCAGCCAGGAAGCATAGGAACTGAGAAGTGGTCTGTGGTCACCACCTACAAAACCAGTCCTTTATTGGGGGGTGTCTTGCTAATTGCCTATAATTTCCACCTGTTGTCTATTCCATTTGCACAACAGCATGTGACATTTATTGTCAATCAGTGTTGCTTCCTAAGTGGACAGTTTGATTTCACAGAAGTGTGATTGACTTGGAGTTACATTGTGTTGTTTAAGTGTTCCCTTTATTTTTTTGAGCAGTGTACATCGTACATCTGCACATTGATCTGGTACTCTCTGTATATCTCCATTCTTGTGTATTTTATTTTATTCCTCGTGTTAGTTACTATTTTATTTATTTTTTATTTTTTAATCTATGCATCGTTGGGAAAGGTTCATAGGCAAGCATTTCATTGTGAAGTCCACCAGTTGTATTCAGCGCATGTAATAAATACCATTTGATTTGATTGATAAAGGCATTTTTGGGAGTTAAATGCAACGATAAAACATTATTTATGAAAAGCAATCTATTAATATGGTTTTTGAACACTATAATTAGTTTAAAAGCATGATATCTGTACTTTTAGTTTATGGTTGACGTAGCTTGTTGGCTATTAGCCAATCAGCGTTTCATAATGCGTTCAGAGCACCTGAATGCATCCAACTGGTATTTACGACTTCACAACCTTACCACTTGGTTAATAATGCAGATTATTTTGAAATGTCATCATGACTAGGTCAGGCCACTCCTACTTAAATTAGGTACATTTCTGCTAATCACGTGACTTATTAGTAGCGTATTTGGCAATGAATTAATTTATCACTATAACCAGGATAAAAAATGTAATGACAGGTCTGATGGAAACAGACAATTTTTCGGTAAACTTTCCAAATGTCGACAAAACAAAGTACGCTAGACAAGGTGGGATCTTTTTGTGTCGATGAAATTAATTATGCGAGAAATGGTGGTGGAAACGCTTTTATGCACAAATATTGATATAATAACCATCATATCGACGCGAGGTCCTCCCTCCCACTACAACTCGTCGGGAAAGCATGCAGTTTATTAGGCTACAGATTAATTAAATTAGCTATGATTAACTTCACAGGGTTGAAGCGCCTTTCCAATAAATATCGAGGGTCTTATTCTGGTAACATGATTTTCATTTAACTAGGCAAGTCAGTTAAGAACAAATTCTTATTTACAATGACGGCCTACACCGGCCAAACCCGGACGACGCTGGGCCAATTGTGCGCCGAACAACTTGTTCAGACATCAACAACCTATGGGACTTCCAATCACGGCCGTTTGTAATACAGCCTGGAATCGAACCAGGGGGTCTGTAGTGACACCTCAAGCACTGAGATGCAGTGCCTTAGACCACTGCGCCATCGACACTTGGCTGCCGTTTGACAAATACAATATAATCTCGCTCTTTTGTCCATAATAATCTCATCATGTAGGCTATATGTGAGCTCTAGCGAACAGCACGCACATACACTAGCAGAGTGGGCACACTCGCGATATAACGCAAACATTTTTTGTGAGAAAACCCATTAGTAGAGTTGAAAATGCGATGGAAACCCATTTAATTTCAATTTTTTATTAGGTACATGAATTTAACCGCAAAGTTTTTTATGTGCACTATGTCATCATGCACAGCTTTTTTCGGCAACAAGTCAATTTGATGGAAACATCTCTGGTGGGAAAATGCGCGTATTGTTTTTATGCGGATTTTAGAATATTCGCATGAAAATCTCTCGCCAATTGGATGGAAACCTAGCTTCTGTCAACCTTTCTACAAAATATTGTCCAATGATTGTCCAAAAAATGAATTTTCTCAACAACAAAATAAAGCTGAAAAATATACCAACACAAAACTACTCCAGCTAGTTTTCTTGGAAAAGACTGATATAGAAGGGTATAACATTCATTGCAGACATATTTTGTTTCTGACATAGTTACTACATTACTAAACTAAAGGAATAATCTGGTGAATAATTGATACATTTATGGATTTTATGGATAGATGTTGGTACACTATTCAAAGTGACCACTGTATGTCGCTGCTGCACAGTGGCAGTGCACTAGCTAGCTTCTACCAACTGCAGCCGTTCAGAAACGCACACTTGTGTCTATCAGAGCAATAACATCAGCGAGCAAACACGGAAACAGAACGAACCCTTCCCCGAATAATTACCACAATAAAACTAAAAATATCGCAGTTAAATCTCCACCCGATCCTAATGAAGGAGCTTCGACCTGACTGACTAGGAGATGGGAATACAAAACATAACAGACCAGGTGGGTAATGCGAATTAACGTCGTTAGCTAGCTAAAACATTCATTTTTTAAACCGTTGCTTTCTTTATCACCACTTCCTTATAAGGGCGGGTTTGATAGCTAACTCACGCTAACTGCGGTGCTTGGCCTTAAACGATGCAGTCTGGTCACATTCTAGATGCTCCAATAAAGTATTCTAACAAGGGACTGTTTGCAAAAATTATGTCACCACTGACTTGTTCGCTTGCTAATGCTAACTAGCTACATTTGGCAATAGGATTTTACACGCGAACGTTAGACCAGCTTGCCTAACCAGTCTATAGTCTACTAAACTCTACGATTTATGATGGAGTTGAGCGGTCACATAAAATTACGTTTTTATCAAAAACCACTGATTTCAGCACCCAAATAATTACATAGAACAATGTCGTGTGTAATTGCGCGCTATTCGTTGGGTGCTGAAATCAGTAGGTTTTGATAGAAACGTAATTTTATGTGATGTCGGAGCTCCAGTCATCCCACACTAGTTGCCGCTCAACTCCATCATAAATCGTGGAGTTGAGGTTAATCGGCTAGCCAGGCTTCCATTCCATGCGGTAGCTAGTTAGCTAGAATTGGCGACGAGTCCTATTCAGATTGTAGCCAGCTAACTGTCTAAGCATTTGGGATTTTATGATTTTCAGCATGAACAACTTGTTCAGACATCAACAACCAACCAATGTATTAAATGCTTAGCTAGCTAGCTGCCAGCTAGGAAACTAATTTAGCTACTGTAGGTCGCTGCAATCAGCATCAGCTATCTAGGGACAGGGCTTTCACTAACAGTGTTGTTGGTAAGGTCTCTAGCTAGCTGCGCAGAATGATTGACTATGTATTTAGCTAGCTAACGAGACTCTACGTTAAACAACTATAAAGGAACTATAATAAGCTAGCTTCACTTCAATCAGCTGTTACTATTGAATCACACTGCGTGATGAGGCGTTTTCCAAGTGCGTTGTGTTGGGTGCATGCAGCTAGCTTGTGAGCAAATCTGACTACTAGTGTCTGTCTGCTTGTAATTCCCAATCAAGTTTAAATAGCTAGTTAATGACGTTCATCCACCCTGTATTATCAGGGAAGCACCACACCTATATCATGCTCACATGTAGTCCGACTATGACGTCATAGTTTTATGTGCTTCAGGAGCACCTTTCAAACAATTTAAGAAATTGGACCATATAGGCCAATTTTTTTTGTATTCACAGGAGGATCAGTATGTCATTAGGGTGGCTTGGGGATAAACATCATTAGGCCAGAATGTATGCATCCACTGCTGTCCGCGCGCGTCTCCACTCATCTCTGCCTTGGCAAAAATCTGTGTTCTCGAACCACATCGCATTTTGTCCCCCAGGACAATGAATGCAAGTCAGTGGTACCTATATTAGCATTTCCCAAATCATGTCCAAATTAAGCAATACGGCCAGAGGAGGTGTGGTATATGGCCAATATACCACTGCTAAGGGCTGTTCTTAGCAGGAGGCAATGCGGAGTGCCTGTATACAGCCATTAGCTGTGGTAAATTGGCCTTATGTCACAAACCCCCGAGGTGCCTTATTGCTATTATAAACTGGTTACTAATGTCATTTTTTTGTCATAACCGTGGTATATAGTCTGATATACCACACATTTCAGCCAATCAGCATTCAGGGCTCAAAACACCCAGTTTATAATCATCTATAAGTAACTTTGAGTCACACAATCAATTTTGAGATACTTAAGGATGATTTGGACAGGAAGGGCGAAAATAAAAAGAGGGGGCTGTACATCAAAACCTCAACCCCCAGTCTAAATAAAAGTTAAACTTTTTTTTTTTTTTTATCATAGTGAGGATATTAATAGTGAGATGTGCAATGTCATTTTGTTCCGATATTAGATTAATTTAATTAAAATAAGATAATTTGACTTCAGTTTTTAAGAGTCAATTACTCAAATGCCAAAATAAAATTTATAAAATAAATTTGAACACAATCTTCAGGGAGCATTTTGCCCCATGGGGGGGGCGGGGCGTTTTGCCCCAATGTTTTTCCCCGATAGAGGGGCAAAACGCCCCACCCCCCCTCGTAACGTTTCTGTTTTTGCATCTTAAAAACATGGTATTTATTTTAACTCAGAATATTTCATGTGTCTATATTCTCCTCCAGACTCCACTGGTCCAGGCTATATTTAGCCGAAATGCCGAAGAAGTGAAGTTTTTGTTGCACAAGAATGAAGAAGTCAATGCACTGGTAAGATGGCTCGCTACACATGAACATGACCCAGTGTGAATCAACTTCCTCCACATCTTGCACGGTACCCACACTTTCTGAACGGGCCAGCCAGTTAAGCAGGAAGGGATTACCTATCAAATCCTCTACACACTTTGACCTTCCTGTCAACTTTGAATCAGATATAGTTAACATCACACAGAGTCAATCAATCATGCAATTTGGAGCAGTAATGTTATACCCACAATATTTCACACTTCACATTCTGGTTACAGCTTCCAACAGTAGCTATACATGTTGTTTTCTTCAAGAGCCATCTTGTGAGTGTAAGTTGTATTTTGTGTGTGTGTGTGTGTGTGCACTGAACGCAAGTACACGTGGCCTATGTATTTGAGGACAAGGAGAAGATTAGTTTATGGTTAAGGGATTGATGGGAGGAAAAGCTTAGCAGTGAGGGATTTTGGGCATCTTCCATCCAATTGTGTAGCTGGTCAGTTAAGGTTCCTCACTCATTCGTTCCACCCCCTCTGGTAATCTGACCAGCTGGCTGTCAGATTAAAGGACCCCCCCCCCCAGAGGAAGGTGCAGCAACTATTTCAATGTAATTTCCTGTCCTAAAGAGGAGATGCACGTTTAGGTTCCACCTCCAAATAATGACGAAGGCTACTTATACATATTCACAAATTGGGTGTGGGAATTTCCACGTGGAGTTAATAAACATCAACAAATAGGGCAATGACAGCTGTCGGTGTAGCTAGCATGATAACCTTATCTAGATAGCTATCTTGCTAACCTTATCTAGATAGCTAATGTTATCGGTTGTTGCTGTTTTGTTGTTGTTGACTACACCATATTCAAAAGATTAGCCAGCTGGTGCTATAGCAGGTTCTGGGGCTGGATTTGTCATCATCAATGCTTTAGGGAAAACATCGCCACAGATGGAAACCACTGGCCTATCTTTGACGTCGCCATCTATTATTATCTCCAAAGTTTTGTCATCTTTCATAAATTGCAACCACAAATCCGCCATTGAAATAGTTAGAAAGAATAAGATGAAGCTCCGGTAATATGGATAACTATTGAAAGATAGTTGATATGCGTTTTTCTATATTGTAACGGACACGGTGCAACCTTTGGTAGGTAGGATGCTGGCACGCTTCGGCTGCAGTACAGCAAAGCCAAGTCAGCCCGTGCTCATGGTTCTCACAGTGGAAGTGAAATTATAGGCTACAATGACTTTGCTCTTGATCATGCACGCCACAAATTACATGTAACTAAGTTCCTTGAATTTTATTTCATGGGTGCCTTTTCATTATCTGGATAGACACTTGTGGTTTCTAGCTAATGTTACACCAATAAAAGCAGTGGAGCGTGTAGTGAAGCAAAACTTTAGTGGTCAAAACCATCGACCTTGGGCAACAGGGAGCAGGTTTGCAAAATCCTATCATATCACACAATTTATACCATTTATAAAATGGTCAGATATAGATACAGAACCAGTCAAAAGTTTGGACACACCTACTCATTCAAGGGTTTTTCATTATTTTTTACAATTTTCTACATTGTAGAATAATAGTGAAGACATCAAAACTATGAAATAACACATGGAATCATGTAGTAACCAAAAAGTGTTAAACAAATCAAAATATATTTTATATTTGAGATTCTTCAAAGTAGCCACCCTTTGCCTTGATGACAGCTTTGCACACTCTTGGCATTCTCTCAACCAGCTTCATGAGGAATGGTTTTCCAACAGTCTTGACTTCCCACATGCTGAGCACTTGTTGGCTGCTTTTCTTTCACTCTGGGGTCCAACTCATCCCAAACCATCTCAATTGGGTTGAGGTCAGGTGATTGTGGAGGCCAGGTCATCTGATGCAGCACTCCATCACTCTCCTTCTTGGTCAAATAGCCCTTACACAGCCTGGAGGTGTGTTTTGGGTCATTGTCCTGTTGAAAAACAAATGATAGTCCCACTAAGCACAAACCAGATGGGATGACGTATCGCTGCAGAATGCTGTGGTAGCCATGCTGGTTAAGTGTGCCTTGAATTCTAAATAAATCACTGACAGTGTCACCAGCAAAGCACCCCCACACCATAACGCCTCCTCCTCCATGCTTCATGGTGGGAACCACACATGCGGAGATCCTCCGTTCACCTACTCTGCGTCTCACAAAGACATGGCGGTTGTGACCAAAAATCTCAAATTTGGACTCATCAGACCAAAGGACAGATTTCCACCGGTCTAAAATCCATTGCTTGTGTTTCTTGGCTCAAGCAAGTCTCTTCTTCTTATTGGTGTCCTTTAGTAGTGGTTTTGACCATGAAGGCCTGAAGCATTCGACCATGAAGGCCTGGTTCACGCAGTCTCCTCTGAAAAGTTGATGTTGAGATGTGTCTGTTACTTGAACTCTGTGAAGCATTTATTTGGGCTGCAATCTGAGATGCAGTTAACTCTAATGAATTTATCCTCTGCAGCAGAGGTAACTCTGGGTCTTCCTTTCCTGTGGCGGTCCTCATGATAGCCAGTTTCATCATAGCGCTTGGTGGATTTTGCGACTGCACTTGAAGAAACTTTCAAAGTTCTTGAAATTTTCCGGATTGACTAACCTTCATGGCTTAAAGTAATGATGGACTGCCATAATATGGACTTGGTCTTTTACCAAATAGGGCTATCTTCTGTAATAACTCCTACCTTGTCACAACACAACTGATTGACTCAAACACATTAAGAAGGAAAGAAATTCCACAAATTAACTTTTAATAACACACACCTGTTAATTGAAATACATTCCAGGTGACTACCTCATGAAGCTGGTTGAGATAATGCTAATTTGAAGAATCTAAAATATATTTTGATTTGTTTAACACTTTTTTGGTTACTACATGATTCCATATGTGTTATTTCATAGTTTTGATGTCTTCACTATTATTCTACAATGTAGAAAAGTATAAAAAATAAAGACAAATCCTGGAATGAGTAGGTGTGTCCAAACTTTTGACTGCTACTGTATATATAATTATTTGTATTTTACTATACAGACTAGCTAAAAAATAAGTGAAAATTGAAAATGTTCTGGTAAAAACTTAAAAACAAAGCGGAGGTGCAAAAACACCACTTTGCACCCCCTATTTTAATTTGCTCCATGGCTCAGGTGGCCAAGTGGACACAAGGCTGTTTGGCTCATCTCAGTCATGAAGAGGAATAACTTTGCAGCTGTTTCTGATTAATAAACAAATGCCATGCTGGTCGGTGGTAACATCAAAATTAATCCCAGCCCTAAAAAGAAATGTAGGTTGAAAATAATTTGTATGTCATATCATAGGAAAATAAACTGCATTCACACGGATTTGCACGAAGTGGGCATTTTGGATTTGTCACTTCAAGGCCAAATATACATTGAGCTCCAAAAGTATTGGGACAGTGACAAATGTTTTGTTGTTTTGTCTCTGTACTCCAGCACTTTGGATTTGAAATTATACAAGGTTAAAGTGCAGACTGCCAGCTTTTATTTGAGGGTATTTTCATCCAACCGTTTAGAAATTACAGCACTTTTTGCACATAGTCCCCCCCCATTTTAGGGGACCAAAAGTATTGGGAAAAATTAACTTATATGTATTAAAGTAGTAGAAAGTTAAGTGTTTTGGTCCTATATTCATAGCACGCAATTACTACATCAAGCTTGTGACTACACATTTATTGGATGCATTTGATGTTTGTTTTGGTTGTTTCAAATTATTTTGTGCGTATTAGAAATGAATGGTAAATAATGTGTTGTGTCATTTTGGAGTCACCTTTTATTGTAAATATGAATTGAATATGTTTCTAAACACCTTTACATTAATGTGGATGTTTCCATGATTAAGGATAGTCCTGAATGAATCGTGAATAATGATGAGTTACAGATTTACAGAGGCATAGGTATCATAAAGTAAAACAATGCTAACATCCTCTGTTATTGTAATGGTGAGAGGTTAGCATGTCTTGGGGGTATGATATTTGTGCATCTGTAACTTTCTCATTCATCATAGTCATTGTATTATTTAAAATCCAAAGTTCTGTAGTACAGAGCCAAAACAACAAAATGTGCCACTGTATAATACCATCGTCTTTCAGCTCGAAAAAGTGGATTTCTACTGGTGTGGGCGTTTTAAAGAGCCCTGACACCATGCTCTAGGTCCACTTTACTTACACACACACACACAGGCAGCCTTCACTTTCAGTTTCACAGGAGTTGAAACAGGGCGAGGCTGGGGCGCCTAATGTGAATAAGGGTGTGTAAAAAGGAAAGAAGCTTCTACAGTGGAGAGGAAGGGTTCTCAAATTGCTGAGCGGATGCTTTAAATCAGCACTGGTTCAAATATGGCTTGGTGCCAGCTATGGCTTGTAGCTGCAATTTGTCAAATGTCACAACAAAACTTAAACCAGTAAATCAGTTTCTATTATATATTAATATACTTTGCATTTGCAATGGAGTCAAATATTATACCACTGTAAATACTCAGTTGTGGCCACTAGACCTGGGGCTGTATTCAATCACTACCTAAAAGTCAAAGAAGAAATTATGTTCTAGCACCGCAAAAAAACAGGTTTGAATTAATATGCAGTTGAGCTTCTTGTACTTCACTTTCACATGGTTAACATAGTTTGGTTGCCTTAATGCATCCAAACATTAATTCTTGCAGTGCAAGACAGATTCAATATTTGACTTGTACGACCAAAACCCACAGGGACCCTTGTCCATAAACAGCCTCTCCTCCTGGAGGCCTAAAATTCTCACACGGCCTCCTTCAGTCAGTCAGTGATTGAATGATGTGTATGGAGAATAAGACAGTGATTTCCTTACTAGAGCTGCAATGAGTGAGGCCTGAGCCATGAGTCATTCACTGGTGGGTTTACACTGACTGCACACATTCCAGTAGGGAGCACAGGGTCAGCTAACAGGCTAGAGATGCCTGAGAAATGTTACTCACTGAGGTGGATTTCAGGCCCTTCTTTCGTTGCCTGGCTACCCAGACTCCTTGCTCCGGCCAAAGGCTAACGTTAGTTTCTTCTCCGCAATGAGTCTGGATCTGAGTACTTCCCTATGTTTTCTAGAATGGAATCACATTATAACCATTCTGATTGGTTCCAAAAACCAATTGGTTAGGCCAGCGCCAAAACACACGTGGGTATGCTGCGTTTTGAAAATGTGGGACTCTGTTAGAGATTATCCAATCGCTGAGAATTTATGTACGATGCCCCTCATTTAGACGTCCCCACAAACGTCTTCAACGATGGCAGTCTCAGACTGAAGTATGTAGCAAACATATAGAGCAGTGGAAGAATTCAGTTTAAGTCGTCAGGGAACATCATTCAGTTTGCAGAAGAAAAAAATAAAATCAGGTCTAGCTCCCTGCAAAATTATTAGATACAGCAGACCTAACCCCGACTGATCATTTTGTGTGAGATAAAAGTTCCACTGTGCATTCATACTGAATATTCTGAGGACCTAGGCTACAGGCCAACATGTATGACAGACCTTTTTACTTGAATTTTTTGCAGGTTGATGGCAATCTATTTCTGTATTTTCAATATCCTGTAATTTAAAGCTATTTTACGTAGTTGGTATCAAGTTCAAACCTGTCATATTGTAGCATGTCACATTTTATATTCTTTCGCTTTGGGGTGTATCATTCAACTCACTGTTTTGTTTTTAATACACTGCCTTGGGATGATGTTATCAGAACCAACAGTGGGCTTAAATCTGGGGTCTTGCTGACTGTTGTGTCTCTGTCTGCTGTCTCTCCTCAGGACCAAGAACGCCGAACCCCCTTACATGCTGCTGCGTGTTTGGGCGATGTTCACATTATGGACCTCCTCATTAATTCAGGTAACGTTCTCAAGCATGAGACAGACAGTTTTCAGAGTAATTTGCATTATTCACTCAATTATCCCTATCCTATTGTTGAATAAAGGACAGTTAATCATATTATCTGTTAGAATATACAACCAGCATTGAAAGCCTTCACTCTAGTCAATGAGGTTGAGAAGCCCTATCCTAAAGGCAGATACTGATAATGAAACCAGATAAGTGTGCAAATGTTACTGACCATCTGAGGCCCATTGTGATTGGCTGAATTGGCTCAGATTTTCAACACTTATCTGCATATGTTTTTTCTATTGGTTGATCTGAGCTACAGAATAGTTGACTGAGTTTGCCCTCTATCTCTCGCTTTCTCTCTCTCTCGCTTACTCGCTCCTCTCTCTCTCTCAGGTGCTAGTATTAACGCTAAGGACCAAGGCTGGCTGACTCCCCTGCATCGGGCAGCTGCCTCACAGAACGAAGTAAGACCATCTTTGCATGACAGTGCCATGTGAAGGGCAGGTCAAATACAATATGTAAAACCTGCTACAGTCATTTCACTGGAATTCCTCATCAGTCTTAATAGCAATTCTCAGTGCTCATTTTCTTAAATTAATCTGCCATACTGATTACCTATCACCTCTCCTTCCTTGAATGAGTAGCTATATGAATGTCGTTGATAAAGTCACACTCCTCATACTTGTTATTTATTCTCCTACCGTCTTTCCCAGAAGGCCGTGGGGCTGCTGCTGAGACAGGATGCGGAGGTCAATGCCCGGGATAAATTCTGGCAGACGCCGTTGCACGTGGCTGCGGCCAACCGGGCCACACGCTGCGCTGAGGCCCTCATCCCCAAGCTGAGCAGCCTGAATGTGGCGGACCGCTCCGGCAGGACGGCCCTGCACCACGCTGCACACAGCGGCCACGTGGAGGTCAGGGGTCACAGCTGGGTTTTATGGTCATAGGGTGGAGGGTTTTGAGTAATACTGAAATGGCACCCAATCCCATATACAGTGAGGGAAAAAAGTATTTGATCCCCTGCTGATTTGGTACGTTTGCCCACTGACAAAGAAATTATCAGTCTATAATTTTAATGGTAGGTTTATTTGAACAGTGAGAGACAGAATAACAACAAAATAATCAAAATGTTATAATTTATTTGCATTTTAATGAGGGAAATAAGTATTTGACCCCCTCTCAATCAGATAGATTTCTGGCTCCCAGGTGTCTTTTATACAGGTAACGAGCTGAGATTAGGAGTACACTCTTAAAGGGAGTGCTCCTAATCTCAGTTTGTTACCTGTATAAAAGACACCTGTCCACAGAAGCAATCAATCAATCAGATTCCAAACTCTCCACCATGGCCAAGACCAAAGAGCTCTCCAAGGATGTCAGGGACAAGATTGTAGACCTACACAAGGCTGGAATGGGCTACAAGACCATCGCCAAGCAGCTTGGTGAGAAGGTGACAACAGTTGGTGCGATTATTCGCAAATGGAAGAAACACAAAATAACTGTCAATCTCCCTTTGCCTGGGGCTCCATGCAAGATCTCACCTCGTGGAGTTGCAATGATCATGAGAACGGTGAGGAATCAGCCCAGAACTACACGGGAGGATCTTGTCAATGATCTCAAGGCAGCTGAGACCATAGTCACCAAGAAAACAATTGGTAACACACTACGCCGTGAAGGACTGAAATCCTGCAGCGCCCGCAAGGTCCCCCTGCTCAAGAAAGCACATATACAGGCCCGTCTGAAGTTTGCCAATGAACATCTGAATGATTCAGAGGAGAACTGGGTGAAAGTGTTGTGGTCAGATGAGACCAAAATCAAGCTCTTTGGCATCAACTCAACTCGCCAGGTTTGGAGGAGGAGGAATGCTGCCTATGACCCCAAGAACACCATCCACACCGTCAAACATGGAGGTGGAAACATTATACTTTGGGGCTGTTTTTCTGCTAAGGGGACAGGACAACATCACCGCATCAAAGGGACGATGGACGGGGCCATGTACCGTCAAATCTTGGGTGAGAACCTCCTTCCCTCAGCCAGGGCATTGAAAATGGGTCATGGATGGGTATTCCAGCATGACAATGACCCAAAACACACGGCCAAGGCAACAAAGGAGTGGCTCAAGAAGAAGCACATTAAGGTCCTGGAGTGGCCTAGCCAGTCTCCAGACCTTAATCCCATAGAAAATCTGTGGAAGGAGCTGAATGTTCGAGTTACCAAACGTCAGCCTCGAAACCTTAATGACCCAGAGAAGATCTGCAAAGAGGAGTGGAACAAAATCCCTCCTGAGATGTGTGCAAACCTGGTGGCCAACTACAAGAAACGTCTGACCTCTGTGATTGCCAACAAGGGTTTTGCCACAAAGTACTAAGTCATGTTTTGCAGAGGGGTCAAATACTTATTTCCCTCATTAAAATGCAAATCAATTTATAACATTTTTGACATGTGTTTTTCTGGATTTTGTTGTTGTTATTCTGTCTCTCGCTGTTCAAATAAACCTACCATTAAAATTATAGACTGATCATGTCTTTGTCAGTGGGCAAACGTACAAAATCAGCAGGGGATAAAATACTTTTTTCCCTCACTGTATAGTGCACTATTCTTGACCAGGGCCCGCATAGTGTCCACTATATAAGGAATAGGTGCCATTTCAGACGCAGCCTAGGTGCTGAATTGGTCTTCCTCTACTCAGAAAGGTGGCTTACTGTGCTCGTTTTAACTCAGTATCTCCTGTCTGTTTCCAGATGGTGAATTTGCTCCTCAACAAAGGGGCCAACCTGAGTGCCAGTGATAAGAAGGAGAGGCAGCCAATCCACTGGGCCGCATACCTCGGTGGGTGGGACCTTAGAACGGACACTTTTCCTGACATTGACACACTTTCCTCCTTGTTCAAGAGGGTTGGCCTGAACAAAGGCACTGAGCAGATTCACTGATCTACAAATCAACTTGCAAACTTCCCATCAAGGGATTAGGGTTGTCATGATACCAGTATCCCGATACCATATTTTCCATGGCAAAAAAAGAAAACACAAATTGGATTAAACTCTATTGTCCTATAAAAAGCTACTTTATGTACAATTGTGGGTGCTATAGCTTGCAAAATAAACATGTGACTCTAGGTGACAAATTAATGCTGTTTGGTTCTAACGTTAGGTCGGTTTTCCACAAGGAATTAAATCCACTTCCATTTTTGTTTCCTTGCCACGATAATTCAGAGTATTGTGATACTGGTAGCGTGACAACCCTACAAGGGATACTTGTATACAAAGAAAAGCAAATCTGTGAAAAATTGCATATCCTCACGCACAAGCAGAAAATTGCCACGGCTTTCGTTAACCTGTCTGTGTCTGTAGTGTCTGTATGTTCCATGAATGTATGGTTGTCTCCTCTTCCCTCAGGGCATCTGCAGATCGTGAAGCTACTGGTGTCGCGGAGTGCGGACGCCATGTGCAGGGACAAGCGCGGTTATACCCCACTCCACGCCGCCGCTGCCAGCGGCCAGATTGAGGTGGTCAAGTACCTGCTGCGGCTGGGGTCAGAGGTGAGGGTCCAGGGTGTGGGGCTTCCTATTATTGAATTCTTTGCTTGTGTGTTTTTTAGTTTTTTACAAAAGTGCATTCCTAGTATAATTTAGGTTAGGGCCTATCAGGAAAATCTCCAGGCCCTATAACCTTCCCAACTCCCACCACCATCTCTAGTCAAATTTCTGCCTTCTCTTTGCCTCCACGTCAGATTGATGAGCCTAATGCCTTTGGGAACACAGCGCTCCACATGGCGTGCTACACGGGCCAGGAGGCGGTGGCCAACGAGCTGGTGAACCGCGGCGCCAACGTCAACCAGCCCAACCACCACGGCGGCACGCCGCTGCACCTGGCCGCTGTCTCCACCAACGGGGCGCTCTGCCTCGAGCTGCTAGTCAACAACGGTGCTGATGTCAACATGCAGGTCAGTCAGAGGAGACCAGAGAAATGAGGGAATAAGGGATTGGTTTCAACCCCAAATGGCACCCTATTCTTTATATAGTGCACTAATTTTGACCAGAACCAAAAAAGTATTTGATCCCCTGCTGATTTTGTATGTTTGCCCACTGACAAAGACATGATTTACATTTACATTTGAGTCATTTAGCAGACGCTCTTATCCAGAGCGACTTACAGGAGCATGATCAGTCTATAATTTTAATGGTAGGTTTATTTGAACAGTGAGAGACAGAATAACAACAAAAGAAATCCAGAAAAACGCATGTCAAAAATGTTATAAATTGATTTGCATTTTAATGAGGGAAATAAGTATTTGACCCCTCTGCAAAACATGACTTAGTACTTGGTGGCAAAACCCTTGTTGGTAATCACAGAGGTCAGACGTTTCTTGTAGTTGGCCACCAGGTTTGCACACATCTCAGGAGGGATTTTGTCCCACTCCTCTTTGCAGATCTTCTCCAAGTCTTTAAGGTTTGGAGGCTGACGTTTGGCAACTCGAACATTCAGCTCCCTCCACAGATTTTCTATGGGATTAAGGTCTGGAGACTGGCTAGGCCACTCCAGGACCTTAATGTGCTTCTTCTTGAGCCACTCCTTTGTTGCCTTGGCCGTGTGTTTTGGGTCATTGTCATGCTGGAATACCCATCCACGACCCATTTTCAATGCCCTGGCTGTGGGAAGGAGGTTCTCACCCAAGATTTGACGGTACATGGCCCCGTCCATCGTCCCTTTGATGCGGTGAAGTTGTCCTGTCCCCTTAGCAGAAAAACACCCCCAAAGCATAATGTTTCCACCTCCATGTTTGACGGTGGGGATGGTGTTCTTGGGGTCATAGGCAGCATTCCTCCTCCTCCAAACACAGCGAGTTGAGTTGATGCCAGAGAGCTCGATTTTGGTCTCATCTGACCACAACACTTTCACCCAGTTCTCCTCTGAATCATTCAGATGTTCATTGGCAAACTTCAGACGGGCCTGTAAATGTGCTTTCTTGAGCAGGGGGACCTTGCGGGCGCTGCAGGATTTCAGTCCTTCACGGCGTAGTGTGTTACCAATTGTTTTCTTGGTGACTATGGTCCCAGCTGCCTTGAGATCATTGACAAGATCCTCCCGTGTAGTTCTGGGCTGATTCCTCACCGTTCTCATGATCATTGCAACTCCACGAGGTGAGATCTTGCATGGAGCCCCAGGCAAAGGGAGATTGACAGTTATTTTGTGTTTCTTCCATTTGCGAATAATCGCACCAACTGTTGTCACCTTCTCACCAAGCTGCTTGGCGATGGTCTTGTAGCCCATTCCAGCCTTGTGTAGGTCCAGTGGCGGCTCCTGAAAAAATTCTCAGGGGCGGCAATTTTTCTGATGATTTAGGTGACCTACACACATTTAAAAAAAGATATGTCCAGCAACAACATGAAGACAGGGGCAGCATATAAGTCAATACTGATATACACATTACTTGCTTCAAAAAGGCCTCATGGTTGAATTGGAAATATGTGCACCTGAGCATAATTCACAACAAGCAAGCAGGAGCTTTTGATAGAGGCTACTGAAAACATTGATGCAAGTTATTGGTAATAAGACATTTTTATAGACTTCCATATTCTGCCCTCTTGTATAGATTTGTGAAAATGAACAGTGATAGACATTTTGCCTGAAAACAGAATTTGAAAATAATTTATAGAAAAGGTAAACACAGCTATCTGTATGGCTTTGTAAAAATGAACAACCATATTCTGGCCAATTGTATAGATTTGTAAATTTGAACAACCATATTCTGGCCAATTGTATAGATTTGTAAAAATGAACATGAACAGATTTTTTATTTTTTTTTACTTAAAAAAAAATGAAAAATAACTATTTTAAACAACATCAACTGTGAACTGATTTGGGCGTGTGTGTGTTAAAGAGACAGACAGGGAGGGACAAAGAGAGAGAGAGGCTACATTACTTGTACTGAAACTGTTCTAGCTTGCTGCATGATCAAATTCAGCTGATGCGCATAGCAATGCACGTAATGGGCATTCTTGAAATGCTCACGCACCTTTTGCTGCACACCAGCCTTCTCTCCCCTCATCACACTGGCTCCATCGTAAGCTTGCGCAATGAGTTTGACTTTCTCGTCGTCGGCAAAAAGACCGTTCAGTCTCTCCAAAAGCACACTGGCGATTGAGACTGAGGTTGATTCCGAGATGGGAAGGAACTCAAAAAAGCGCTCCTGCACTTTGTGGTTGCTATCTATGTACCTCAGCACAAGCACCAGCTGTGTCTGTGTAGAAACGTCCGTGGTCTCGTCAGCTTGGATAGCTACGAAGTTCGCCGACTTCACCTCCTCCACAATATGTTCCCTCATGACCGCTAGCATACACTCCAGTAGCTCGTTTTGAATGGTCTTTGATGTGCCCTTGAAAACTTTAGCATTTTTAAGATGGTCATCAAACACCTCATCTAATTGTGCCACAAAGTTGACAAGTCCAAGAAAAATACCAGGGTTGGTGGAGCCCTCAGTTTCATCTTTGCCTCGCAAATGACAGTTGTACGTGAATTGATTGACGCTGCTACCCGCTCTTTTCTTAGTTATGTTCATGGTTACTTATGTTACGTATGACGAAAGCGCGTAAGTGCAAGCCCTCCCGGAACCCATAGAGATTGTATTGAAAGCTCTGATATTTGAAAAAAAAAAGATTTTACATGATAGTCTATGAGAGACTCCTGGGCGATTTTCAACCTGACTGAAATCGTCCCAAAAGGGGCGGGGCCATTTGAAGCACGACTTTAGCCTGATTGGACATTTAGTGGCAGATCAGACGTCTAGATTAGAACACTGATAACTACTGTTGCCGTGATATAATTGATTAGAAAAAAAATCCCTTCCTTTTCCCGTTTGGCAGTGCGTCGCCCATATCGCCCTAATGAACACACCGCCCCTGTGTAGGTCTACAATCTTGTCCCTGACATCCTTGGAGAGCTCATTGGTTTTGGCCATGGTGGAGAGTTTGGAATCTGATTGATTGCTTCTGTGGACAGGTGTCTTTTATACAGGTAACAAGCTGATATTAGGAGCACTCCCTTTAAGAGTGTGCTCCTAATCTCAGCTCGTTACCTGTATAAAAGACACCTGGGAGCCAGAAATCTTTCTGATTGAGAGGGGGTCAAATAATTATTTCCCTCATTAAAATGCAAATAAATGTATAACATTTTTGACATGTTTGAGGTAAATCAATTATTTTCATAACAAGAAATGTTTTTGTTTGTTCTCTCTTTCTCTCACAGAGTAAAGAAGGGAAGAGCCCTTTGCATATGGCCGCTATTCACGGGCGCTTCACCCGCTCCCAGATCCTGATCCAAAACGGTAACCACACACATTATAAAACACAATATTATCACACACTACACTACAAATACAAGAATAGCGTGTTTGTGAAAAGTGCTTGCAGTATTTCAGGGAACAAACTTCAGTTGAAGCGCACCAGCCAAACATACCCAACACTCATATCCTCCAGCCCATAGCAACCACAACAACTCCAACAGCCGGATGTCATCTCACAACTTTGTGAAAAACAATATGGTGCAAATCTCCTCTGTCCCTAACCACATCCCCTCTCTCTCTCTCCTGTGTGCAGGTGGGGATATCGACTGTGTAGATAAATATGGCAATACTCCTCTTCACGTTGCTGCTAAGCACGGCCACGAGCTGCTGATCAGCACCCTGATGACTAACGGTGCTGACACAGCCAGGTGAGAGAGTGTTTTCCATAAGCGCGGCTACTTTCCACTTCATAAATTAACTAGTCTTCTTGTCATTTAAAAGTTTCAATTTGCTAGTCAGAAAAGTCCATATAGCCTTCTCCTGCTAGAATGAACGGTATGCATCTTCTAGTGATCTACTAATAGGACAGGCGCCTGTCAGTCATAAAGCAAGCAATGACAGGGAAACACTGCAGGGCCCAGTTTCCCAAAAGCATCTTAACACTAGAACCGCCATAGGCCAACGGCCACTGACTTGATTTTGTAAATTTAAAAAATCAGCCCCCCAAAAAAGCTATGTTCTGTTCTTTCCCTGACTTTTCCTAAACGTTTGTATTTTACACTGCTCATTTGTCCGAATTTTGAAATCACAAACAAAAAAGTATTTAGAGCCTTTTACCCGTTTTTTTTTTTTACATCCAACTTAACCCGCTGATGAAAACAAATTGAACTCTTAGGCCTGAATGCCAAGTGTCACATCTGGAGGAAACCTGGCACCATCCCTACGGTGAAGCATGGTGGTGGCAGCATCATGCTGTGGGGATATATTTCAGTGGCAGGGACTGGGAAACTAGTCAGGATCGAGGGAAAGGTGAACGGAGCAAAGTACAGAGAGATTCTTGATGAAAACCTGCTCCAGAGCACTCAGGACCTCAGACTGGGGCAAAGGTTCACCTTCCAATAGGACAACGACCCTAAGCACACAGCCAAGACAATGCAGGAGTGGCTTCGGGACAAGTCTCTGAATGTTCTTGAGTGGCCCAGCCAGAGCCCGGACTTGAACCCGATCATACATCTCTGGAGAGACCTGAAAATATCCATGCATCCAAACTGACAGAGCTTGAGAGGATCTGCAGAAAAGAACGGGAGAAACTCCCCAAATACAGGTGTGCGAAGCTTGTTGCTTCATACCCAATAAGACTCGAGGCTGTAATCACTGTCAAAGGTGCTTCAACAAAATACTGAGTAAAGGGTGTGAATACTTATGTAAATGTGGTATTTCAGTTTTGTATTTTTTATACATTTACAAAAAAAGTATAAAAACACATTTTAAGTCAAAACTGTAACTCGGCCACTCAGGAACATTCACTGTCTTCTTGGTAAGCAACTCCAGTGTAGATTTGGCCTTGTGTTTTAGGTCAGGGTTTCCCAAACTTGGACCTGGGACCCCCCCTGGGTGCACGTTTTTATTTTTGCCCTAGCACCACACAGCTGATTTAAAATAACCAACTCATCATCAAGCTTTGATTATTTGAATCAGCTGTGTAGTGCTAGGGAAAAAACGTAAATGTGCACCCAGGGGGGGTCCCAGGACCGACTTTGGGAAACCTTGTTTTAGGTTATTGTCCTGCTGAAAAGTGAATTAATCTCCCAGTGTCTGGTGGAAATCAGACTGAACCAGGTTTTCCTCTAGGATTTTGCCTGTGCTTAGCTCCCCAGTCCTTAACAATTACAAGCATACCCATAACATGATGCAGCCTCCACTATGCTTGAAAATATGGAGAGTTGTACACAGTAATGTGTTGTATTGGATTTGCCCCAAACAGAACACTTTGTATTCAAGACAAGAAGTTAATTGCTTTGCCACATTTATTAGCAGTATTACTTTAGTGCCTTGTTGCAAACAGGATGCATGTTATGGAATATTTTTATTCTGTACAGGCTTCCTTCTTTTCATTCTGTCAATTAGGTTAGTATTGTGGAGTAACTACAATGTTGTTGATCCATCCTCAGTTTTCTTCTATCACAGCCATTAAACTCAATAACTGTTTGAAAGTCACCATTGGGCTCATGCTGAAATCCCTGAGCGGTTTCCTTCCTCTCCGGCAACTGAGTTAGGAAGGACACCTGTATCTTTGTAGTGACTTGGTGTATTAATACACCATCCAAGAATAACTTCACCATGCTCAAAGGGATATTCAATGTCTGCTTTTTTTTATTTTTACCCATCTACCAATAGGTGCCCTTCCCTGGTCTTTGTGGTTGAATCTGTGTTTGAAATTCACTGCTCGACTAAGGGGCATTACTGATATTTGCATGTGTGGGTACAGAGATGAGGTAGTCATTCAAAAATCATGTTAAACACTACTGCAACTTATTATGTGACTTCTTAAGCAGATTTTTACTCCTGAACTCATTTAGGCTTGCCATAACAAAGGGGTTGAATATTTATTGACATTTTAGCTATTTTTAATTTGAAAAAGTCTCGGAAAAAAATTCAATTTGGACATTATTTGGTAGGCCAGTGACAAAAAAATCTCAATTTAATCCATTTTAAATTCGGGCTGTAGCACAACAAAATTTGAAAAATGTCAAGGGGTATGAATACACTGTATGTGGTTACTTCAAGTTGTGTATTTACGGTCTTTAATGTATTGCGTTGTCATCAACTCCAATATGAATGTTAGTCCATTATAGCCTAGTTCATTAAATAGCCTGCCCCATATTTGCAAAATATGTTCAACATGTTTGCAGTCCACATTGTTCTAATTGCATTGCTTCGATATAGAAATACATTGTTAAACATAGGCTATAGAATTCACACTGAAATAGGGTCTAGGCCTACTGTAAATTGCAGTATGTGGACATGCCAAACGTAGTCAATAAGCAAGATTAAATTCACTAGGCTACTGATAAATAAAAACAAAACAACAACTTGTTTTAAAATAGGCTATGTCTAAATACAGTTACAGGCACCATAATTGCTTCCTGTGGGCGTATAATACAGACAACACCATAATTGCTTCCTGTGGGCGTATAATACAGACAACACCATAATTGCTTCCTGTGGGCGTATAATACAGACAAGGCAGCTTAGACTATGGCGGGTTTTACGCACATCCAAACTTTTTACAGGAGTTTGATAAAGATCCAATATAAAGAGAAAGGGGGAATGTCCACTCACCGTTATACTGCTCCCAAATAATATTTTAGAAACATATTGGAACGATTTACAGATCACATTCACACTTCTCCAGAACGTTCTCACCATAAAACCTAATAAGTTTGCTTGTTTTATGTTACATTTTATTAAAACCAATGTGGGTTTCTTTCAACAATAAATACATGTAAAATGTAATGATATCATAAATAAAAAAGACAATGCATTGCTGTTGAACCAGCCTTTGTTATAGTAGGCCTATTGTAAGGGTAGTCTACGGAGGGCTTGGGTTTTGAACATATGAAACGGAATACAATCAAAAAATATCTTTATGATTTTTGTATATATAAAAAAAAAACTTTACTCCCCAATTTCGTCATATCCAACAGTCTTGTCCCATCGCTGCAACTCCTGTATGGACTCGGGAGAGGCAAAGGTCGAGAGCCGTGCATCCGCCAAAACACAACCCCGCTAAGCGCACTGCTTCATGTCACAATGCACGCTTAACCCGGAAGCCAGCCGCACCAATGTGTCGGAGGAACGGTGTCAGCGTGCATGCTCCCACAGGAGTCGCTACAGCGCGATGGGACAAGGACATCCCGGCCAGCCAAACCCTCCCCTAACCCGGACGACGCTGGGCCAATTGTGCGTTGCCTCATGGGTCTCCCGGTCGCGGCCGGCTGCGACACAGCCCGGTATCAAACCAGGATCTGTAGTAACGCAGCTTGCACTGCGATGCAGTGCCTTAGACCGCTGCGCCACTCGGGAGGCCAACAAGCAATTGTTACATGAAAATAACTTCTAAATATGAGATTCACCGAGGTTCTAATCTCTCGTTTCATGATGGGCATGGACACGTAGCCTACGTCATGGAGGGGGCTTTACACACGTCCACAATGGGAATCATTTAGGCCTACCTACAATACATAGATAAAAAGGGAATGTCGGCTCTCTGTTTTGCTCCTCTCAAACTTGATATAAACTATGATTTTAATAAAGCTTTGGTGATTATGATTTATTTCCAAGCGGTCTCACGAGCCAAACCCTTTATTGATAGTCTTGTCTACTTGGCGATTGCTTTGGGCAGGTAAAATAAAAAAAACAGCCTTCATTGAGACGGGAGGCTATGCTTGGTTTTTAATCAAATAAAACAAATAAAAATAAAAATCACATTACTCTTGTTCCATGCGCATATGCGCAGTGTGCGTCACGGCTAGATAGACTGCATTTCCGCTGTCAAAATGTATGCCATAACCTACCGCGTTACCGCTTAAACCAGCTTTTGGTTGGTCTTAAATATCCCTACCAGCGCTGCCTGAATTTCGCACTTTGGATCACGTTTTTAAGGACTCACCTCAAATATTTACACCCCTCCCATCTGAGCGCAAGCGAGCTGATATAAGACAGGTAAATTACCAATTCTTGCACAACAATTTGAAAATAGCGTGCTGGCTTTAATAGGTCAAAATTGCCAACGAAGTTGCGTTTGACACTAGCGTGCGTTTGACACTTATAGCCAGCCAAAAATAGAGCCCTAAGTGTCCACAGCAGCAGAGCCAAAAAAAAAAAACATAATTTGAAGAACAAACATCATTGTGGCAATTCATATTTTGCGGTACTGTAAATATGAAGAGATGACCGGTTTAATGTTAAAAATGGTTCTCTTACTTAAAAAATTGTCCTGATCATCTAGGCCTAGCCGATAACAAAAACAGCTATTCATACATTTTCAGCAATTTTAATTGTAAAGTAATGTCTTTCTACTCAAAAATACGACTAATTTTACCAATCTGGGAGGTAAAGTCTAGGGTTGGGTGAAATCCAGATTTTCATATCGTCATACCGTCTTTCTCTCATCCCGGGATTTACGATATTACCGTTTTAGTACACAAGGGGGCGCTAAAACGTTTAATAAAACCCATTTGGTGTCTATTACCAGAATGCTAGCAAAATTAACACAATAGCACATTTCCATAGAGGCTGCTAGCTAAATATGCTAACGAGAATGCTAACGAGCACAAACAAAAATGAAACTAATTGCAAAGATAGGCAATCCAGCTCACAAGTATAGATAGTAGCTACCGAATGTCATTTCTGGTGAGTTTGGACATTTACAATTGAATGTGAAAGAGAGACATTGTCAAATGAACAAAGTTTTGACACATGCTTGTCTGCAGGATGAAGAGCACTGGCTCTGGAGATGCATGTGGACACGCTTTGTCTGTGTGTAGTTGCTAGGGCAATGGGCCTGCCTGCTCTGCTCAGAGAACAGGGGGGACTAGCAGACTAGCAGAGGAGAAAGAAATGCAAGGAAATTAAGATAACTCATCCAAAGCGCTTTGACTTCTCAAAAACGGCAGAAAGCTCACACTATATGATGCCCTGTCTCCTTATTAATTCAGCCACTTAGCTAACTAGCAAGTTAAACCAAATACACAGCTGGACTCACCAGCTTTTACTTTCTCCAGTTGTGGAACTATGGTAAGCTTCATAATGTAAAATAAGGTGACAAGAACGCAATCTGCTTTATCTCCTAACGTATTGCACAAGTTGATTGCAGGTATTTACTTTTAAAAAAGTAACTTCACATTTTCAAATCTATTGAAAAACTTCAAAGAAATAGGTTTGACGGTATTGAAAAAGCCTCCCGTGGCCATTTACAAATGCCCTGGTATATGGTATATACGGTATTCTGCCCAAGCCTAAAGTCATTAAAGTATTCAATAATTTAACTGTGTGTTTCGGATGGAAGTAAGGCATTAGAATGTACCAGAGGCCACCAAAATAGAGCTCGATCTGCAAAAAACTAATTGGGGGGGGGGGCATGCGGGGGCTGGCTACTTTTTATATTTGGCTCGCTACTCCATATACTTATGGAAAACACTGCACATACACATTTTGTTATTCTATCCTTGTGGGGACCTAAAATCTATTTCCATTCAAAATCATATTTTCCCTAACCCAACCCCTAAACTTAAACCCAACTCCTAACCCCTTACCCTAACCCTAAACCTAACCCCTAAGCTTAAAATAGCGTTTGTCGTCATGGGGACGTGGGAAATGTCCCCACAAGGGATAATTTTCCTTGTTTTGCTATCCTTGTGGGGACTTTTGGGGATTTTAGGTCCCCACAAGGATAGAAGAACCGACACACACATTCACAATCAGGTTACAGAAAAGACACAAGTCAGGTGTAGAAAAACATTATTTATGGCAGAACAAGGACATCTCTCCTGAGAGAATGTTGTCAGAAGATCAGCTCTTCCATTGCTTATGGAACATAATGGTCCTCTCAACAGAACTAGCAGCAAAGCTCACATTTCTCTTCTAGTTATCATTGTGTGTTACATATTTGAGACGATGTCTGATCTCCTTGCCTGTCTTATATTTTACATTTACATTTTAGTCATTTAGCAGATGCTCTTATCCAGAGCGACTTACAGTTAGTGAGTGCATACATTTTTTCATACTGGCCCCCCGTGGGAAACGAACCCACAACCCTGGCGTTGCAAGCGCCATGCTCTACCAACTGAGCTACACGGGGCCCTATCCATGTGTGTCATTGTCTCTCTCTCTCTGTAGGCAAGGGATTCATGGGATGTTTTCGTTGCATTTGGCTGTGCTCTACGGGTTTTCAGACTGTTGTCGCAAGTTACTCTCCTCAGGTAAGCCTTTAGACTGCCATAGAAATGGTTGTTTGTATAATTGAAACTGATAAAGTTTCATGGATGTGTACATTCAAATTGACCTAAGTAGTTCTGTATCAGATAGATTGTGAGACAGGATATACATACAACACATTCTTTAAATACTTGCTTTTCCTCATTCAGTGTCATGTTCAGAAACAGAGATTTGAATAGATGTTCTCCTCAGTACCCACAAAGGCCATTGTTCCATCCAGACCTCCTGATGTGGTCACCCGTATGACAACACTTCCTGTTTTGTGCTGTTGTGCTTCCTGCAGGTCAGCTGTACAGCATCGTATCATCTCTAAGCAACGAGCATGTGCTGTCAGCCGGTTTTGACATAAACACCCCAGACAGCCTGGGTAGGACCTGCCTGCATGCTGCCGCCTCTGGAGGGTGAGCACACCTTTTTTTATGAAGAGAGAGCTTTGTTAGTGGTTGTATAATCATCTCATTTGTATTTCTGTTCTCTCTTTGACGGCAGAAACGTTGAATGTCTTAACTTGCTGTTGAGCAGTGGTGCCGACTTGAGTAAAAAGGACAAACTGGGAAGGTGAGTGGTCTCATTCTGGAATTCAACAAACTTGTTTTTCCCCATAATGTTTTTGTCATTGAGTGAATTCTATTCTATCCTATGTTATTATATTCTCTTCTCCTGTGAATGTGACTCATCTCCTCACCCATCCCTCTCATGGCAGAGCTCCTTTGCACTACGCAGCTGCGAATGGGAGCTACCAGTGCACGGTTGCCCTGGTGAGTGCTGGTGCCGAGGTGAATGAGCTGGACCAGAAAGGCTGCAGCCCCCTGCACTACGGCGCCGCATCGCAGACCTTCCGCCGGTGAGACACACAGATAACACACACATAGAGGGGCTAAACAATACCAGAATCCCAAAATGGATTGACATTTTGTTTTTGTTTCAGAGTGGACAGACATTACTCAGTCGGACACCAGAGTGAGGAGAGGGCCAAGGAGTCCTTTTTGTAAGTCCCTTACCATGATGTCGTCTCAGTTTTATCAAACATAAAACATACAAACCTACCGACTGACCAAGCTCAAACATTTTGGTTTCTCAGAAGATGGGAACTGTTTAGAAATTTACAATTTTCTGCAATGGTTTGCAGTTAAGGTTAACCTGCCCATGTATACTGAACAAACATATAAACGCAACATGCAACAATTTCAAAGATTTTACTGAGTTACAGTTCATATAAGGAAATCAGTCAATTGAAATCAATTCATTAGGCCCTAATCTATGGATTTCACATTTTCTAGGAATACAGATATGCATCTGTTGGTCACAGATACCTTTAAAAAAAGGTAGGGGCGTGGATCAGAAAACCAGTCAGTATCTTGTGTGACCACCATTTGCCTCATGCAGCACAACACATCTCCTTTGCATAGAGTTGATTAGGCTGTTGATTGTGGCCTGTGGAATGTTGTCCCACTCCTCTTCAATGGCTGTGTGAGGTTGCTGGATGTTGGCGGGAACTGGAACACGCTGTCGTACGTGTTGATCCAGAGCATCCCAAACATGCCCAATGGGTGACATGTCTGGTGAGTATGCAGGCCATGGAAGAACTGGGACATTTTCATCTTCCAGGAATTGTGTACAGATCCTTGCGACATGGGGCTGTGCATTATAATGCTGAAACATGAGGTGAAGGTGGCGGATGAATGGCACGACAATGGGCCTCAGGATCTCTTCACGGTATCTCTGTGCATTCAAATTGACATAAATAAAATGCAATTGTGTTCGTTGTCCGTAGCTTATGCCTGCCCATACCATAACCCCACCGCCACCATGGGGCACTCTGTTCACAACGTTGACATCAGCAAATTGCTCGCCCACACAACGCCATACACGTGGTCTGCGGTTGTGAGGACGGTTGGACGTACTGCCAAATTCTCTAAAACGATGTTGAAGGTGGCTTATGGTAGAGAAAGGAACATTAAATTCTCTGGCAACAGCTCTGATGGACATTCCTGCAGTCAGCATGCAAATTGCACGCTCCCTCAAAACTTGAGACATCTGTGACATTGTGTTGTGTGACAAAACTGCACATTTTAGAGTGGCCTTTTATTGTCCCCAGCACAAGGTGCACCTGTATAATGATCTTGCTGTTTAATCAGCTTCTTGAGATGCCACACCTGTCAGGTGGATGGATTATCTTGGCAGAGGAGAAATGGTCACTAACAGGGCTGTAAACAAATTTGTGCACAAGATGTGAGAGACATAAGCTTTTTGTGCATATGGAACGTTTCTGGGGTCTTTTATTTCAGCTCATGAAACCAACACTTTACATGTTGCGTTTATATTTTTGTTCAGTGTATTTGATGGCTTGTTGTTTGATCACAATTTTTCTCTCTCTGTGTTGATGTAGTTGTGTATCTAGAAGTTTGTTGATTGACGTAACATGACTGTCTTCTCCTCTGTATGTGTAGCTGTTTAGAGTATCTGCTGGATAACGGGGCTGACCCGGCTCTGAGGAACACCAAGGGTTACAGCGCAGTCCACTATGCAGCAGCCCACGGAAACAAGCAGAACCTGGAGCTGGTGAGTATGTGGGAGGAGGGACTGCAGGCCTGTGTGTATGTGTATGCACATGTGCATGCTGCAGACAGACAAGCAAAGACGAGTCGTATCATGGGTGCATTTCAACAGTGCCTTACCCTCCTCGTCTTCATCTGCACTATGAAAGAACAGGACAAGTGACGGTAAAGTCCTAGTAGACATCCAACCATATTGCTTTCACTAGTCCGTTGTTTTCAGATCAGTGCAGATAAAGACGAGGAAAGGAAATCACTTTAGAGTATCGAGATGCATCAAAAGTTGCACTTGGTTTGAAACTGGTAATGGCCTTTGTAATAAAGTGGTATTTCCAGCCCCATCTTTAAGAGCTGAGATTGGTAAATAATTTACTGTCGCTTCCTCTTCATAGGGCTAAAGTCAGATGACTGAGCCATGTACCGCTTCCTTTGGGAAGTGCAGTAATCTCAGCAAGTGGTACAGTATGTACAGGTTGCAAACTCCTCTCTTTGTCCCCTTCTTTCCCCCAGCTCTTGGAGATGTCGTTCAACTGTCTGGGAGACGTGGAGAGCAGTGTTCCAGTTAGCCCTTTGCACTTAGCCGTGAGTACAGTACACCTGCTTAGCCTCGTTTCCTCTGGCCCGAAGGTCCAATTGACTGTACTGTCCATTGGCTTTCTATAGATTGTTTTAACTTCAAATTAACACATTACATTAGTTTTATTACGGCCCCTCTTAGTTCTACAGTGCTAATTCAAAGTTGGAGTGAACTAACTATCCATTGAACACATTCACCCAATTAATTGACACATTTACCCCCCATTCTCACACTCTTCAGTTTGACTGTTGTGTGGTTCTAGTTCTGAAGTTGGAGTGAATTGTCCCTTGAACACAGTGACCCACCTCCATTCTCACACTCCTGGATTTCTCCCTCCACCCAGGCGTATAACGGTCACTTTGAGGCGTTGGGGGTGCTGTCTGAGACGCTGGTGAGTCTGGACGTTCGGGATGCGGGGGGGCGCACCGCCCTCTACTTGGCGGCCCAGAAGGGACACGCTCAGTGCGTGGAGGTACTGCTGTCCCACGGGGCCTCCTGCCACCTCAAGGAGCGCCACCAGAAGTGGACCCCACTCCACGTCGCAGGTGTGTGTGCATGTACCACTTTACATGGTTTTTGTGATTGTTAGATTCTAATCCACATGGTAGTTGTATGTGTGTATGAGCTTATGTCAACATTTTCACTCTTCTCTGTTACCTGCTCGTCATTGTGTGTGTGTGTGTGTGTGTGTGTGTGTGTGTGTGTGTGTGTGTGTGTGTGTGTGTGTGTGTGTGTGTGTGTGTGTGTGTGTGTGAGCTTGTCTCAATATTTGACTGTCTATGTCACCACCTCCTCCAGCTTCCAACGGCCAAACAGACTGTCTGCTCATGCTGGTCAACCGAGGGGAGAAGGCTGACATCATCGACATTGCCGACGTACAGGGACAGTGAGTGACTGTCATTCATTTCCTGAAAATGTTTGTTGAATATGGCACCCACTAGAATAGGACTGATTATTTTTGCTTTTCTTTTTTTTACACTATTCTAACGTAGAGGGCTCCCTTTTTTACCTACTGGTTATTTGTGTGTAAACCACTGGGATTATGTGTGTGTGCAGGACGGCTCTGATGCTGGCAGCTCTTGGCAGTCACACTGACTGTGTCCACATCCTGCTGGAGAAGGGAGCCGGGGCCAACGCCGCTGACAAGCGAGGCCGCACTGCCCTACACAGAGCTGTGAGTGTCCCCACCATGTGTATGTGCTTGCTCTAACCCTAATGTTCTATCTGCCCAATCTCAAAATATATTGCCATTGGGGGTCCCCTGCAGTCACATTCATCGAATCTGGGTAGATGGGACACTTAGAGAAAGGTGTAACAAATAATTATATTTGATACTGCTGATGAACTACACTATATATACAACAGTATGTGGACACCCCTTCAAATTAGTGGATTCGGCTGTTTCAGCCACACCCGTTGCTGACAGATGTATAAAATCAAGCACATAGCCATGCAATCTCCATAGACAACCATTGGCAGTAGAATGGCCTTACTGAAGAGCTCCGTGACTTTCAACATGGCGCTGTCATAGGATGCCACCTTTCCAACAAGTCAGTTCCTCAAATTTCTGGCCTGCTAGAGCTTCCTCGGTCAACTGTAAGTGCTGTTATTGTGAAGTGAAAACGTCTAGGCGCAACAACGACTCAGCCGCGAAGGGGTAGGCCACACAAGCTTAAAGCGTGTAAAAATCGCCGGTCCTCGGTTGCAACACTCACTACCAAAAAAGTTATCCCTTTCAACTGTTCTTCTCTAACTCCCTCTCTCTTTATCTCTGTCCTCTCTTTCTCTTGTCAGTGATGAGTTCTGTCTCTCTAACTCTTTCTCTGTCTCTTCCTCCAGGCGGTGATGGGCTGTGAGGACTGTGTGTCGGCCCTGCTGGAGCATGGTGCTTCGGCTCTGTGCAGGGATTTCCGGGGGCGCACCCCCCTGCACCTGGCCGCCTCCTGCGGCCACATGGAGCTCCTGCGCAGCCTGCTGCAGGGCGCCACACACACCGACCCCCTCGACTCCATGCTGGACTATAGCGGATACACCCCCGCCCACTGGGCCGCCTACCACGGTGAGACACACATTACACACACACACACAACCTTCCCGGAGAGGCTACAAATAACCTCAGTGAATAACTCACAAAGTGTGGGGTTGGGCTAAATAGCCGTGAGAGAACTTCAGTTGCTCCTAAACTGTGAACCATTGTCTGACACCATCTCTCGTCTCTTTCAGGGCACGAGGACTGTTTGGACGTTTTACTTGAACACAAATCATTTAGTATCCAGGAAGGAAACCCCTTCACCCCATTGCACTGTGCTCTGTGAGTACCACCGCTGGTTCCCCCTGCTCTTTAGGGTTCTGGATTCCGCTATGATTATCAGAGCTTCTATTTAGAAAATATATTTTGAAAAACCTAATTCTGTCTGATGATGAGACCTGGTGTTGAATCCATCAGAAGGTTGACCTGGCAACTGCTGTCCTTTTTTATAACAGAGAGATGGAGGATGTTTTCTCACAGTTTGTCTTGTTCCTTTCCAGAATTAATGGCCATGATGGTGCTGCTGAACTACTGGTAGAGACCTTCGGAACTCAGATGGTAAACATCAGAGACGGCAAAGGAAGGTGCGTGTCGTGTGTCTGTCTGAGTTTCTGCATATGCCTTTGTGTACGGAGCTCTGTCAAGTCTAGTGTATTGCAGCTTACCTGTCTGTCTGTCTGTCTGGTTGTGGCTGTCCTGGGCTGTGCCTGAAGGACCCCGTTGCATGCAGCTGCCTATTCAGAGAGTGTGGGCGGGCTGCAGCTGGCCCTGGTCCAGGGGGCAGAGGTCAATGCCGTGGACACCACAGGACGCTCTGCCCTGATGGTTGCCGCCGACAACGGACGGACCGCAGCCGTCGGTGAGTGGCCAGAAATTAGGAAATGTGATTATTGCATCCAGTAAATATGAGAACTGAACGTTTAGTGGGCTTATTAGTTTGGTATACATAATTTATGTTTTATTTTATATGTATTTATTAAATGTATTTATGAACTGTGTAATTGTGGACACCACATCAAATAGAAAACCTTGCTAGTGACCGTAGCAACTGGAGGAAGCTTGTTGTCGACTGTTCTGCAGCCGGATGATGATGATGATGATGATGATGATGATGTGTAATTGTGAGAGATGTGTGAACCCAACAGAGATCCTGCTGCACCAGGCCAAGGCAGACCTGACCCTGCTGGATGTCAACGACAACACCGCCCTTCACCTGGCCTGCAGCAAGGTGAGACACATTCACTCACACACACAGGCACTCATACACACACACACACACAGTCCTGCAGCAAGGCAAGACACTCCGTCATACGCCTAGCTGACACACGGTCCACTGTTATTTTGAATTCTGACTCGCTGTAGCCAAATACACAACCTAAGTTATTTAAAAATTATATATCAACTATACAGGAAACAAGCATGACAGATCCACATATCATTGGAAAACTGCTTTACACCTTCAGATTGCTAATGTATATTACTGTTGATACCAAAGCATTATTAGGTGGCAGGGAAATGGCATGTGTGTTTCTCCGTCAGAGTACTAATGTTCCAATCCCAGTATACTAAACCTGACCTTTATGTGTTTCCCTGCAATAGGGGCTATATTTGTACATCAAGCTGCCTTGCGCTACAGAAACAGGAGATCTTGCCCTATTGGCTGTTCTGGCTCGGACAAGGCTTATTTACTTACTTAATGTGTTTTCTCCCGCAGGCTCATGAGATGTGTGCCCTGTTAATCCTGGGAGAGATCAGCGACCCCTCACTCATCAATGCAACAAACAGTGCACTGCAAATGTGAGCCATCATCAGCGACTCAGCCTTTCATTAAAGACACTGTTCAACACTGTATAAAACCCCAGCTTCATCTCTCACTCAGCCCTTTTAAACTCTCGATCTGTGTGACTCCTAACTCCAGGAGTTAAGATGAGTGAGAGCTGAAGCAGGGGATCTATACAAAACCCAAAAGACCTAGAGTTTTGTTTACCTAGGTGGTCTGTTGACTGTATCCCTTTTCACTCCTCCCCAGGCCCCTTCATATCGCAGCGAGGAACGGTCTGGCTACAGTGGTGCAGGTGCTCCTCAGCCGGGGGGCAGCTGTGATGGCTATAGATGAGGAGGGTGAGTCACCACAGTGTCGGTTAGTGAAAAAAGACCAGGGTGGTGAGGTGGCCATTTTTCTTATGTCGCTTCGGAGTGTGTGCGTGTCTGATATGCATGTTCACCTCTTGACTATGCAGGTTGTTATTGAGAACTATAAAATATAATTTGTTCTTCCTAAACGTGAAATATATATTTTTTAATCAATGTGTGTGTTTCTATCTCCTATCCTATCTTCAGGCCACACCCCGGCCCTGGCCTGTGCCCCTAACAAGGACGTGGCGGACTGCCTGGCCCTTATCCTCTCCACCATGAAGCCTTTCCCTCCCAAAGACGCCAGCGCTGCCAACTCCTTTGGCCTCAACCTGCTGAAGCACTGTGGCATCGCCGTCGCCTGCGGGCCCCTTCCCAACGGCACCCTGCACCACGCCTACGCCAAGGACCGCCACGGCACCATCGGCCTGGACGGCTGCTTCACCGAGTGAAACGAACTCCCCAACCTGCTCCCCCCCCCCTAACACACACAACAAGAGCAGGAATAGTGTGTGTGTGTAAGTGCGTGTGTGTTTGGATGCGTGTCTGTATATGTGTGCGTGCGTGCGTGCGTCTGTCTATGTGTTTGTTTAAACAAAAACTAAATCCCTTATGGGTGCAGTCAAACCTATATGCAATTATTTGCCTCTCTCCTCTGTGGCATATCGTCTGTCTGTGTGTCTGTCTGTCGTCACTAGCCTGGCCTTAGGTCAGACACCATCTGTCCAGTGTCCAGGACAGAGCACGTCACTGAGTCCCTCTGAATCGTACCGGCAGAGATACTGTATCATCATGAAGTTATCACGGTTTTGTTGAATTAACAGATTCACAAGCATGTGTGACAAGCTACAGATAGTCTAAATTAATTCTGAATGCAATTTAAATTATTGTGAATTTTTTTAATTGCACTTCAATTTACCTCGCAAATCCCAGTGAAAGCGATGACCTAGTAGGAGAACGGTGCCTCGACAACTTCTACTCTGACTTAAACTGGTGCAATATGCAGCATGTGTGGGTATTTCCAGTGCTGTGCCTCTCTCCGAAGACTAGAATAAAACTGAAGTAGTAGAGCGAGAGAAAGAGGGAGAGAGTGATAGACAGTGGCTGGGTTTGACTATACAGTTAAGGGTCTGGGTGAGTTGAGAGCTCTGCAGAGAAGCCCATGGATTTGAAAACAAGCGGTGACAAGCTGGTGTTGACACACCTAGAAGTCTGACAACAAGCACTTCCCACTGGCTAAGGCCATCTGAGTGACATTATCAACATTCACCAGGTCCAGTCAATGGGTTTTTCTGCATTAGCCCCCTCTCACTGAGTCCATACTCAAAGGGAGTAGTTGTGGGTCTTGCCTGAACCCCACTCCTGCTTGTCACTGTCGTAGAATACTTTGGCACCTTAAATAAGGTGTTTCTAAGACGTTTATGGATATTTAACAATGTTGTGCCTATGGAATACTGAGAGACGACCCCAACCCCTCAACCTCACCTAGTTTATGCCTTCTGATCCCCCACCTTATCCCTGATTATTTGAGATTTAAAAAGAGAACAATGCTAGTGGGACATTTAAAGGATGAAATTGAGATTTGAAGAGAAATGGGTTTAGCACACATACTGAACGCGGCATAAGCTTTTTTTTTTTGCTGTCGTATAAACACTTGTTTACATAATGTAAACAGTCGTCGGATTTACTTGTGAATCGACAGTCAAATATGTTTGCACAACAGGGCCATGCCTCCAGTAGGAAAATAAAGAGCGAACAGTGGCTTGGCATTTTTCCTATTTTGTTGCCTTACAACCTGGAATTAAAATGGATTTTTGGGGGGGTTGTATCATTTGATTTACACAACATGCCTACCACTTTGAAGATGCAAAATAATTTTTGCGGTGAAACAAACAAGTAATAAGACAAAAAAACTGAACTAGAGCGTGCATAACTATTTACCACAGATTCTCAATTGGATTGAGGTCTGGGCTTTGACTAGGCCATTCCAAGACATTTAAATGTTTCCCCTTAAACCACTCAAGTGTTGCTTTAGCAGTATGCTTAGGGTCATTGTCCTGCTGGAAGGTGAACCTCCGTCCCAATCTCAAATCTCTGGAAGACTGAAACAGGTTTCCCTCAAGAATTTCCCTGTATTTAGCGCCATCCATCATTCCTTCAATTCTGACCAGCTTCCCAGTCCTTGCCGATGAAAGACATCCCCACAGCATGATGCTGCCACCACCATGCTTCACTGTGGGGATGGTGTTCTTGGGATGATGAGAAGTTTTGGGTTTGCGCCAGACATAGTTTTCCTTGATGGTCAAAAGCTCAATTTTAGTCTCATCTGACCAGAGTACCTTCTTCCATATGTTTGGGGAGTCTCCCACATGCCTTTTGGCAAACACCAAACGTGTTTGCTTATTTTTTTCTTTAAGCAATGGCTTTTTTCTGGCCACTCTTCCGTAAAGCCCAGCTCTGTGGAGTGTATGGCTTAGAGTGGTCCTATGGACAGATACTCCAATCTCCGCTGTGGAGCTTTGCAGCTCCTTCAGGGTTATCTTTGGTCTCTTTGTTGTCTCTCTGATTAATGCCCTCCTTGCCTGGTCCGTGAGTTTTGGTGGGCGGCCCTCTCTTGGCAGGTTTGTTGTGGTGCCATATTATAAAAAAAATTTAATAATGGATTTAATGGTGCTCCTTGGGATGTTCAAAGTTTCAGATATTTTTTTTATAACCCAACCCTGATATGTACTTCTCCACAACTTTGTCCCTGACCTGTTTGGAGAGCTTCTTGGTCTTCATGGTGCCGCTTGCTTGGTGGTGCCCCTTGCTTAGTGGTGTTGCAGACTCTGGGGCCTTTCAGAACAGGTGTATATATACTGAGATCATGTGACAGATCATGTGACACTTAAATTGCACACAGGTGGACTTTATTTAACTAATTATGTGACTTCTGAAGGTAATTGGTTGCACCAGATCTTATTTAGGGGCTTCATAGCAAAGGGGGTGAATACATATGCACGCATCACTTTTCCGTTATTTATTTTTTATAATTTTTTGAAACAAGTTATTTTTTTCATTTCACTTCACCAATTTGGACTATTTTGTGTATGTCCGTTACATGAAATCCAAATAAAAATCCATTTAAATTACAGGTTGTAATGCAACAAAATAGGAAAAACGCCAAGGGGGATGAATACTTTTGCAAGGCACTGTAGCTGCTAAAATATTGCTGCCTTTCTTTTCCATGGATTCTATTCACGGTTTCTGTCAATGCGGGTCTACATTTAGTATTTAAATAATTTGTTACGTTATTGGGAAGCAATATTCACACACAGCCTTCAAATTCTTTTAGCAGTTTTCTTTTCATGCAGTTTGCTGTGGTGGAAAGGTTCATGTTGTTTTTACCTCAAGAAAATAATTTGCACTACCTCCAAAGTTTAAAGTATTCTGTTTCAAATGGAATGCATTCATTTATTCAAAAATGTATCAGGTTATATTTTGATAATCTTGTTTCATTCTAAGGGAATAGGTAGAATGTGGTTTTGTTGTTGTTGTTTTTCTATTCTTGCCAAACAGCCATACTTGATGTTGAAAAAATACTCTAATCCCAATCAAACGGCATGCGCTTTAACCCTCACTGTCAATTCAGTTTACTTGTCACGTTGATAGGCATAGCATTGGGAGTTGTCAAAAGTACAGCCAAAAACACAAATGCATTCCTTTTACATTTTAATTAGGCACGTCTTGTACTTACCTCAAAGCTTTTAACAACGCAACTCATTGACCTCTGTTTGGGCCACACTATAGATCCATTCATTTTTGTTGAAAGCTTCTCTGCCTTCTTTTGCACATTAGTTGAATCAATTTAGTTTTAAGTGTGTCAGTTGATTACGCTATTTATGAAGATTGTTAGTTATGTTAATCTGAACATAATTCAAATGATGTTCACTCTGTTGTAATTGTTTTCTTGTGGTTGTAGAGATTTCCCCCCCAAAAATTTATTACAAAATCAATCTTTATCAGTATTTGACCCTAGTCAAACATTCATAAACTAATTTGAATATTTAAACAGGAAAAACTATTTTTAAATCTGTGGTGTACTGTAATATTATGCGTTAACCTACTTTGGATCTGTATTTTTGATATTACATAAATGTAGTTAGATGGCAAAATTGCACAAGTAGTGTTAATGTACCGATGCATATCTTTTCTCTTAACAGTACAACATTTGACATAAAGTATGGCTGACACGAAAACAAAAATATCTATATTATGTTGCTATGGTTATGTATGGACAGCTACTTTTTTTTACTTTTTATTTTTTTAGATGATCAGCATCACAAGGGCTTTTTATTTATAAGTAAATGCTTTTCGGAAGTTGTTTTAAGTTGTGTCTTTCAGTATTTTATTTATTTGAATGTCAAAGAATCGTAAAAGTAATTGAGGATTTCTTTACACCCGTTTTGAAGTATGTGTGCTCCCATTTCTCTTTTGCGACAACAAGAACACCATGTTGACATGTCTGGTACCAATACCTCTATTGTGTTATACAATGACAACCTGTGTAACCTAGAATTGTTCTCTTTTGAATGGAATATCAAAATCATTTAGCACATCTCCTTAGATGTACATACTATTCATTATATTAAGGAAAAAACGTTGATGCATCAATTTATGAATCATATTGCAACCTGAGATTCATTGTTAGCTCCTGGTGCATTCAATCATAGGGCTGGGAAGGAACTGTGTTATAAAAAAGGAAAAAAATAGAAAAACGTTTAAAAGTAAAAGCTTATCTTGCACCTATTCAGTGGCCAGTAATGGTATTCCACAAGATTTTTAATGTCAAAGCCTTTAAGAAAAATAAGATGACAAAGCCAATATCCTTTACATGATGTAGGAATAGCAAATCCAAAACCAGTGTCATTTTTATTCCTCATACAGTGGGGAAAAAAAGTATTTAGTCAGCCACCAATTGTGCAAGTTCTCCCACTTAAAAAGATGAGAGAGGCCTGTAATTTTCATCATAGGTACACGTCAACTATGACAGACAAATTGAGAAAAACAAATCCTGAAAATCACATTATAGGATTTTTTATGAATTTATTTGCAAATTATGGTGGAAAATAAGTATTTGGTCACCTACAAACAAGCAAGATTTCTGGCTCTCACAGACCTGTAACTTCTTCTTTAAGAGGCTCCTCTGTCCTACACTCGTTACCTGTATTAATGGCACCTGTTTGAACTTGTTATCAGTATAAAAGACACCTGTCCACAACCTCAAACAGTCACACTCCAAACTCCACTATGGCCAAGACCAAAGAGCTGTCAAAGGACACCAGAAACAAAATTGTAGACCTGCACCAGGCAGGGAAGACTGAATCTGCAATAGGTAAGCAGCTTGGTTTGAAGAAATCAACAGTGGGAGCAATTGTTAGGAAATGGAAGACATACAAGACCACTGATAATCTCCCTCGATCTGGGGCTCCACGCAAGATCTCACCCCGTGGGGTCAAAATGATCACAAGAACGGTGAGCAAAAATCCCAGAACCACACGGGGGGACCTAGTGAATGACCTGCAGAGAGCTGGGACCAAAGTAACAAAGCCTACCATCAGTAACACACTACGCCGCCAGGAACTCAAACCCTGCAGTGCCAGACGTGTCCCCCTGCTTAAGCCAGTACATGTCCAGGCCCGTCTGAAGTTTGCTAGAGTGCATTTGGATGATCCAGAAGAGGATTGGGAGAATGTCATATGGTCAGATGAAACCAAAATATAAC